TGGCATTAATTTGATCCTCCTATTTTCTCGCCTTCCCCCAGTATTTATAAATCTAGTAGGGTTGAAACATTCAGACTGTTCCCTCATAAGCCCACAGCAGCCTAGAAGTTAATCACAGTAAAATAACTTCTGTCCAGGTGGATAGTACTTCTTAAAGCACAAAACCAGGTTCTCGACTGTACCATAATATTTTGGGTCATTTTGCTCTATGAAATCTTTACATAAGATTTACTTCCCCCAGTATTTATAAATCTAGTAGGGTTGAAACATTCAGACTGTTCCCTCATAAGCCCACAGCAGCCTAGAAGTTAATCACAGTAAAATAACTTCTGTCCAGGTGGATAGTACTTCTTAAAGCACAAAACCAGGTTCTCGACTGTACCATAATATTTTGGGTCATTTTGCTCTATGAAATCTTTACATAAGATTTATAGCAAAAATATTTTATTTAGGCTGTTCTGTTTTTCAACTCATATTCTAGGTGAGTATTCTAGATACAGGAGAAGTCTGCATGGAATTTCTAAAAGAATATAATTCTAAAGAATTTGTAAAAGAAGTTCTGAGAATATCTTGTGATGGAAGTGAGGTAAGTAGCTGATTATAGTTTTTAAAGTTGTCAGTATTGAAGCAATGTGTTTATGCTTAACAAACTGCATAGAATTCAGTGATCCTGGATTATGGTACAATTAAGGGTGTTTCTCATGCCAACAGATTTCTTGCTGTTTAGGTTTAATTACCAGAAACAACTAACCTGTATATGGCTTTAAAATATCTCTGCATCCAAGGGACTGTATGTCTTGTTATGAACCTGTTAAGGTCTTCAGGAGAGGCTCTTCTGAGGACATCACTGTATGTGGAGACCTGTTTGATAGGTATATACAGGAGAGGACTTCTTTGTGTGCTGCTTCCAAACTGGAGTTCTCTCCCCTCCAAACTGTGAGCAGTTCCCACTCTCTCTGTTTGGGGGTGGGGGTGGGGCAATGAACACTTTTTAAAAACTGGATTTTCAAACTAATGTTAATATGGTTTTTTAAAAAATTGCACTGTTTATTGTTACTTAATCATTATTTTCTTCTGAGCACAGACTTTGTTGAATAGCAGTGGTTATTTTAGCAGTTATATGAGTGCTACTTTTAGTGGAAAAGCAGGGTAAAATGTTATAGTTTTCACTTCTGCAAGTGTGTTTGTACAATATGAGGTCCTCAGAGTGAGCAACTGATTTACTTTTTATTCTCTTCTGAACACTCTCTTAGTGAACAGCACCTGATTCAGTTAATCAGTCTACTCATTCTGTACCTGGGAAAACTACCAAAAAGTTTGTTTATTGTGGATAGCAAATGGCTCCTTTTGCAAAAATAGAAAATTATTACTTGTCATGCATCTGGATTGACAATACTGATGAATTTTTTAAGAAACAAATTTGAACATATAGTTCTTAGCTATTGTTTTTCTGTGTATTAAGATCACAGTTTACCATCCAAATGAAGGAAGAGGCATGCCCCTTCATGACAGACCACCACCACTTCCTGAAGACTTACATGTTTATACATTTGACAGCCTGCCTGGTAAGATCAGTTTCTATGAGCCTATTTGGAAATACAGAGTAATGTGCATCTCAGTCTTTAACATGAGAGCAGATGACTTTTTTTCAACTTTGAAACAACTGGGTTTTGAGGGTGGGTGGATAGCAAAACAGTAGTTCAGTACCAAGTACATAAGATTTTTTAAAATAGCTATTCACAGTATGCACAGTTAGCTTATTTATAAGGAAAAAAGCACAGACATGTCTTGTTTCAGTTACATTTCTTAGACAACAGGTTTTTGCTAGTTTTTGTGATTTTCTTGGCTTTCCAAAAACCTTCTAACTTCCCCAGTTCTTTTTCTCTCTCAACATATGTTTACATACTTTACTGTTACTTCTGTAACTTTTGGCTACCCAACTTCATTTTTATTCCTCTTGGCTTCTTCAGGTCAAAGTAATTCTTGGGACATTTTGCCAATAATTATACAAATAATTCTATAATGTGAAGACTATAGTACAGTGGTGCCCCGCATAGCGATGTTAATCCATTCCGGATTAATCGTCGCTATGCAAAAACATCGCTAAACGGATTGAAAAACCCTATAGGAACACATTAAACTTAGTTTAATGTGTTCCTATGGGGCCCAAACTCACAGTTCAGCAAAGTTCCTCCATAGTGCCGCCATTTTCGTGCCCTCGGTAAGCGAGGCCAGGGCGTGAAAACTTGTGGCGGCCATTTTGGGCACTCGACGGCCATTTTGGAACCGCCGATCAGCTGTTGTAAAAACATCGCAATGCGAAGATCGGTAAGCGAAACGCTTACCGATCATCGCAATGCGAGTTTTTGCCTATCTAAACGTTGCAATGCAATTGCTTTTGCGATCTCAAAAGCGACATCGCTATGCAGATTCGTCAGACGGTGCACTCGTTAAGAGAGGCACCACTGTACTTAAATGTTGCTCTAGTAATATTTACTGTATTTTCTCACTGCATGTTCTTTTGTATGCAATAAGTAACTTTAAATATTAGGGTGTATGCTAAATGTAAACTGTTCAACCAGTTTCAAAGTGTGGTATCAGAAGCTTCTGAAAATAAAAACTTCCACTAATTTCAGTATTCAATACTAGCTTTTTAGAAATGTGTAACAAAAGCTGACAGCAAAATTTGAAAATGTGATGAACAATGTGACCCATGGGCATGTACTCCCAGATCCTACTAGGAATGTCTGTCAGTTGTGCAGAAACTCAGCCTTGCAGCTCATTTATTGAATCAAGGGACTGTGTATTTAGACTATTATATAAGCCAGCAACTCCTTCAAGTAGCATTCAGTGGGTACTGTAATGTATGATGCTGCCATTAGTGCTGCTTAAAGAAATATATGTAGAAAGAACAAAAAATGCAGACTGCTTAGGGCTTCCTTTCCCAAGTCCAGATTGTGTGCCTGTCCTTTCCAGCCACAGTGCTTGGAATTGTGTCCATGTGCTTCAGGGGCCCATCTCCCCAGGTTAGTAAAATGGGTAAGATCCAGATTATTTATTTGCATTGAGGCAAAGGAGAACTGATGTCCTTTTAATAGCCTTTTAAAAATGGCATATGTCTTTTGTGGGACTGTGGCAAGAAGGAAATAAATTCAAGACTTAAAGCTATATTTGTTTTTGCAGAGAAGTACTGGAAGAAGTATCAGTATGCTGCCAAATTTGTACAGTTAGTAAGATCCAAAACTCCCAAAGTTACTTTCTATACGAGGTATGCCAAGTGCATGTTGATGGAAAATTCTCCTCCTGCTGATGTGGAAATTTGTTTTTATGATGGTATGTATTCTTATAAATTTCCTAAATAATAATAAATTTATATTATCCAACAGTTATGGCTCTATAAAAGCATGTGCACCTCAGCTACTCATGATATTTGTTTTAAGAAATTTTGTCAACTGTCTCAGTATATTTTACCTAAAACATATACTTCTGAAAATTAGAATTGTAATGACTGAATATTAGTTTTGTTTCACTATCAAAAGCAGCAGTAAATAATATGTTTGTGATATTTTTATTAAATGTTAATTATAATCATTAGGAACTGATAATAAAACTGGCACTATATTTTTCTTGACTACTTATCTGAGTGGTTGATATGTGTTTCATCCAGCATTGTGCAAGTAAAATTCTGCTTGTGCAACAAGACATTTTCCTTTGTACCCTTTCACTCTGAGTAGTACTGGATAGTATTATTTGTAACTCTGTGCTTGTCAGCATTTTTATTTCTACTGGAAGGAGATGTCCAGTGTCAGTATTTAAAAAAATATTATGATAGAATGGAATCATTGCTGCTTCAGCTGAAGAAACATTTCCTTTTTTAATAGGAGCAAAAATTCACAAGACAGCAGGAGTAATCCGTGTAATAGAAAAATCTGGAAAAATCTATACAATAAAAGAAAATGAAATGGAATTAGAGAGAGAAATTCGGATATATGTTGATCATGCCAATGAGGTAAGTAGTGTATTTTTAAAAAGTAAGTGTGATGCACAAAGTAGCTGCTTCCAAACAGACTGGAAAACAGGGTTCTTTTTCTCAGTATTATCCCAGGTATGTGGCTTTTGTCAAAAAGGTTTTATGGATTTAATAGCCATTAAAAGCCCATGGAAATTTATTAGCATAATTTGCTTTGTTTCATCCTTCTTCATTCTGAGTACCACATTCCTGTTACATGTTTAAACCATCAGTATGTTTACATAGTATGTGTGTGTGTTTTTTTTTAAATACAGGGACATCGTATTTGCCTGGCACTGGAATCTGCCATTTTGGCAGAAGAAAGAAGTGAAAATGTTCCATTTTTCCCCATTATTGTTGGGCGGTAAGCATTCTCTTGGATTTTATTTCTAATATAAATGTCTAAGTTGTAACAGGGAATTTTCATATTTTGCTTTGTTACAATCTCACTAAAAATAGTCAAACATATGAACATAGTTTTTCTTAACCTTTTTTTCAGGAAACCAGGAAACCCTGAGTCTCCAAAAGCTTTGGTACCACCTTCTGCTTTAGAAGATCAAAGTGCGTTCGCGCATACAGCTGTGGTAAAGAGTGATATTGGTGGCAGATCGGAATTGGCAAGTGAAGCACCCAGCAATAGCCCCCCTGTAAGCAAACAAGCATGTAGATGTTTTTTCCCCCAACATAAAAAATAGTTCTATTGCAAATCTAAGTCTGAATCTCATTTTTTTAAAGTAAGCTGTGGATTCTATAGTTAGTTTCAAATTCTTGTTATTTTAAAAGGATGAAATTCTTGTTTTGGTATCATGGGAGGAAGAGCATTCTTAAATATTAAAGCTTCACACAAAAATAGAAGGTTCAATTGCAACATTTTATTTTTTTTTTATTTCCTTCCAGATGTTGTCGTATGAAGGATCTGCATTTACAGCAAATACAGCAGAATCAAAGGGCTCCTCTGGTCTTCCGAATGAGCATGCTGCAAATTCACCTCAACTGTTGAAGTCTGTCTTTGTAAAGAATGTTGGCTGGGCTTCACAGGTGGGTCAGTGTTCCATAACCAAGAAGAAAAGTCAGCCACCTGGGCTAAGAGAGAAATGAAAATGCAAAGCAATAGCTAGCAACAGAAGTTGTGAGGCATCTTTTAACTGTATTGCTTGCTACTAGGCCTTTTTTGTCTCCTTTTTGGACCTGACCTTATCTGCAGATCAGGCAGTATCTGATCATTGTATTAAGAAGAATACGAAGACTGGTACCTGTTTAATTCCTGCATTTTAAATTAGAACATTCGCAACATAGAAAAAATAATCAGAACTAGCTAGCACGTGAAAGTGCTCAATGAAACAAAATGTTAACTCCTGTGCTGATCTTTGTCATGTGATCTCTTTGCAGTTGTGTCTGACCTTGCTAACAAAAGATTAAAACATGAAGTATAAAATGTGTTAAGTGACTCTTAAAATTTAAGTTTTTGGATTAATTTATAATCCTTGCTTTCCTCTGCCAGCTGACCAGTGGGGCAGTATGGGTTCAGTTCAATGATGGATCCCAGCTGCTGGCTCAGGCTGGCATTTCTTCTATTACATATACATCTCCAGCTGGTGACACTGTCAAGTAAGTACCCATCTTGAAGCATATGCATTCTATTTCAATTACTTTTATATTGTTCAGTATTAACACTCTTAGATTTCGGAAGTCTGGTGTTCCATACCCTCTGCTACTGCTGAAAATGGAGAACTACCATATTTTTCAGTGTATAAGACACTAAGTTTGTCAAATCTTTAGACTAAAAATTGAGGGTTATCTAATACATGGAAGTAAGCTGAGGAGAGAACAAAACGGCCCATACCTTGCCTCTGCAAACAGGTTGCCTCCAATCACGAGGTTTAGTTTCCTACAGTCAGGAAAATTTGCTTCCTCCAGTCACAAGCCTTATGTAACTGACGTCAGCTGATGCAGAACAAACCAACTGCAACACATCTCGTGGAGGTGGAGCATGTAGGCAGTGCTCAGATGCAGCAGAGATTCGTAATGTCCGAGCGTTCTGAGCCCAGAGGCTGAATAAAGTTAAAGTGTGACGCATAATATGACAGTACTGGTATTTAAATGTTATCTAATTACTAAATTAAATGTGTTCTGTTTTATGTTTAAAATATTGATTTCTTAATTTTGGGTTAGAAGAGTTGGGGCCATCTTATACATGGAAAATGTATAATTGTATACATTTGTATATTTTATACTGTATATTATTTACTGGCAATCTTCCACTGAGCCCCATCTCCTTTGGGGGCCATAAAAATTATTGGGCATGTTTGCACATATCTACAAGTAGGGATGAGCTTATGCAAAATATCAGGCTCACATAGATCCCTGCTCTCCCTTCCTATCTAAATGGTGAGAAGAATAACCTGGGCTTCAGTTTTATTTTAGCACATTCCTGGTCTGGTGTCACTGGAAACCTAGGAATTATTGTTTCAAATGGACTTACTCTTTTTAAATAAGCAACAAACCATCTGCGGAGTCTGAAATTGACTGTTTAGCAATTTCCTAGAGTTTATTTTAAACACATATTCTTGGTTTGCTTTGTAATGACTGACCGGGAATCTGGAAAAACAAAACTGATTTCTGAGTTATTCACCCCCCTCACACTGAAGGGGAGGAAGCCATTCATATGGATGCTTTGCTTCTTGTGCATGCAGCTCTAAACTATGATTTACTATTATGTGCAAATGTTCCTGTGACTCAACAAATGCAATAAAGGTTCACTATAATTCCAGGAGAACTTTGTGTATCATTTGCAGTTGAGCATCAGAAATAAACACAAGATTTGACTAAACAGTTGATTTTACTATTTACCTTGTCTCTTATTCTTATTCCTTTTAATTAAACTACTAGTAGAAGTTTCATTTGTAGAATGAATTATTGTACAAATGGAGGATAATAAGATCTCTTATCTGTGCCCTTAGGGACTGAATTGAAAATTAACCTCGCATGAGAAGATCAGGGACAGTTTCTACCTTTGTTCATCCTTAGATTAATTATCATGGAGAGGCATAAGATGGCTCTTTCTGGTGCATGAAGTTACCAGTTCTACAGCAAATTAAAAACTGACCCACTATACTTAGTTTTAGATTTTAACTTTTTTTCAGTCTCTTAGGTTCCCCCTGTATAGATAAACATAACGATTTCAAGAGTGTTGGGGAAGAAAACTTGTATTGGGCAAATCCAAATATTCTATTCTCACAGAAGAATCTCCATAGAACAAAATTTGTAGTTTCAACTTCCAAGATAAACCACCCAGTTTTTCCGGTATAAATACCTATCTCAGGATCCAGAGGCTAACAAGCTCTAGTAGTCCTTGTGTATAAACTGTTACCTAAAATAGAAGGTAGTTAATTCCTTCTGTAGCTGGTTAACTTCTGCCATAATCTGTGTGGTCCCATAAAGCACTGGTAGTTCTTTCCTGTTTGTTCCAAGTTGGTAGGCAAGATTTTTAAAAAATGCAGTGGTGCCTCACATTACAATGTTAATTCGTTCCAGCGAAATTGCTGTAGAACGAAAATGTAATGCGAAATAAAAAAGCCCATAGAAACGCATTAAAACCCAATTAATGCGTTTCTATGGGATTGAAACTCACCGTCCAGTGAAGATCCTCCATAGCGCGGCCATTTTCACTGCCCGTGCAGCGAGGAATCTGTCCCAGAAAAGAGCGGGGAGGCATTTTTTTACCTGGTGGCCATTTTGAAACCGCAGATCAACTGGCTGAAAATCGTTGTTTTGCAAGAATCGGTTCCCGAAGCAGGGAACCGATCATCGCAAAGCGAAAAAACCCCATTGGAAACATCATAACCTTCATCGTAATGCGATTTTATCGTTAAACGGGGCGCTCGTCTTGCGAGGCACCACTGTACAGTAAACTCTCTGCCAGGACTAGCATTTTAAGCAGCAAAGGGAATTTTATGGCAGAATACAAGTGGACAAAATATATATGAAATAATCTACATCAAACTTTAGATTTCAATTCTGATAAAACTGTTAAACCAAAAACTAGACACTGACTTAACAAACTATTCAAACATTTTTCTTTTTAAATGAGAAATATTGTAGTTTAATGGTAACCAAAAGTGCAAAACATGTTAATAGACAGGGTCATATCAGTATTCATGTCAGATTTCCATAACTTGCATTGGCTATTTGATGAGGTACTAGAATGCATTTCAATCGTGTGGCGGGTCATATGCCAAATTTTGCAATTGATTCCCCTTGACATTTTTAGTTCAGTCATGTCCGACTCTAGGGGATGTTGCTCATTATGTTTTCAAGCCGTAGAGCCAGCGCTTGTCCGAAGACAGTTTCCGTCGTCATGTGGCCAGCGTGACTAGGGAATGCCGTTTTACCTTATCACCGAGGTGGTGCCTATTTATCTACTCACACTTACATGCTTTCGAACTGCTGCTGGGACAAAGCGACGGGAGCGTACTCCATCGCATGGATTCGATCTTATGACTGCTGGTCTTCTGACCCTGCAGCACAGGCTTCTGCGATTTAGCCCGCAGTGCCATCACGTCCCTCTGTTAAAAACAAGAGGATCTATTAAAAGCAGTTCTCAGCAATAGTGTAAAGTGGTACAGGCTTCATACTTTTAAATTTGGGATTGATAAGAACACTAACCCGCCCTATGAAGAGAAGTGGAGTTAAAGAGAATGGCTGTACTGGGTTAAGAACTGGAACTTCCATACGTTTGTGGACTGCAGTTTCAATGAGACAAGTACATCTGAAAGGCCACAGGTTTCCCATCCTTCATAGCAGGGCTTGGGAATGTGTGGCTCTTTAGATGTTGTATTGGGCTCTAGTTTCCATGAGCTTAGCGGCAGGTAAGATATGGGGGTAGTAATTTATTAATATCTGGAGGGCTGCAGTTTGCCTCTCCTTAACTGGATAGGTAGAAGGCTTTCTAATGCTATGTAAACACTGATTTGTTGAAGCAAGTATAAATTAGTGGTATAAGCTGTGAACTGGATGAAAGGGACTTTTTATGTCAATTAGTTTCCATGTGCTATTGAGTTTACTTGAAATTTTTCAATTTTCTAGGTATGGAGAAAATGAAAAATTGCCAGAATATATTAAAGAGAAGCTACATTATTTATCTTCTATTTTGGTAATGTTTACCAATCCAGTGGGTCCTCACTGACAAACTGTTTGGATATGGCTTGGGAAAAAACAACTTCAGGGTAATAGAGGCATTGCTGTGATATTCAAAGAAGAAGAGGGCTTTCAGTGAACTCAGTCCTTCCTTCCATGATGGAGTTGCAGTGTTCATTTCAGCTTTTAAAAGCATGATTAGTCAAGGTAAAATTGCTTGCATTTTATATAATGGATTGCGGTAAATGTTAGTTCTCCAATTCTTTCTCATAAAGGGAGTCTGAACTTGTATATATGTGTGTGTTTTCCCACTATTACAGCAGTCATCAAGTGTCTCTCTGAACTGTATATGTAAATACCTTGTATTTTACTTTCTGCAAACATGTAAAGTGTACTGTTTTATAAGTGTTTTATATTTTGAAACTTTTTCTAATGAAATATCCCTGCAAAAGCTTTTTAAAAAAATAAATGCAGTGGAATTTGTTCAGGTCATTTCCTTTATTTAACACCTGCCTAGGTGTATTCTATTAGAACATTGATAGTAGTTAGACAGTGAAACTTCACTTCTGTGGTAAAAATCTGCAAACATTGTACACTTGCACACACTGTGGGGTTTTGAGTTCTTGAATTAAAGGAATAGGCTCAATTCACAGTCAGTCCTGAAGAACATGGTTTAATGTAAACAAAGAACCCATTCTTTCTAGCTTTTCTTTTTAGTGACACAAATGAAGCAGCTGTCTTGTGTAATTAGCAGACATCGAAATGTTGGAATGCAGTAAGGCATTTATTAGAACTACCCGTAATGGCTAAGAGAGAAACAAATATAAAACTTCTGTTGTGACTTTTGCTTTATGTTTTCTAAATAGAAACCACATTTACTGTGACATTTACTGTATTAGTTTGTGCATGCTTTTCCAAAGTAAAAAATGTAGATCAGTTCACTGACTTCACATTATATGTGGACCAATTCAGGGTGCATGTATTGTTGTATGTTAAGACCAACAGTGCACATCCATACTTTCTTTTCTTTCTTATTTTATTCTCATCATAGTGGTGCACAATTTAAAATTATGGACATACATGTAATATTGGTAAAATTAAAAAACAAATTGATATGTTGAGATGATTAAGACTATTTTGGCCAGAAGTGGGTTACTTCAATAGCATTACCGTGACCATTTGCTAAATCTTTTGTACACATGCTTGGGTATAAATTGCATGTAACTGCTGCATTGACTAAATTTCTCCACAGTCACAGAAAATTTGTCCTGGATCCAAGTTGCCCCATTTTACTCGATTATTCTTTGATCTTCTTACTGTGCTTCAAAGTATTAAGTGACTTCCAGATGGGTGGGTTACTTCAATAGCATTACCGTGACCATTTGCTAAATCTTTTGTACACATGCTTGGGTATAAATTGCATGTAACTGCTGCATTGACTAAATTTCTCCACAGTCACAGAAAATTTGTCCTGGATCCAAGTTGCCCCATTTTACTTCATTATTCTTTGATCTTCTTACTGTACTTCAAAGTATTAAGTGACTTCCAGATGGTCCAGCTAGTCTTGTCCTGGTGGAGACACTCTTTTAGCATTCATCAGCGCGTGTTGTTCTTTTTCTACATAGGTTTAGCCTAGCCTCTTCTGGTTAAATATTTACAGATTGAGGTGTGCAGAAAACTTTCCTTTGATTTAGGGGGGTTGGTGTCCATGAAGTAGATGAGTTTGATGGTGTATTACCTTATTTTATTCATTATTTGCTAGCACCTCTCAATACCCTTCTGTAGGGGTCCATGCCAGCCCAATAATACACTTTTTCAATGGGGGCAGGTTTCAGTCAGCCAGTAATAATCCTGCATGATTCATTAAGAGCTATATTCAATTATTTGACATGTGCTGATTTGCACTATGTGGCACTAGTATATTCTACTGTGAAGAAGCCCAGGAACAAAGCTGCTCTTACTGTTTGTTGGGTGTGCACCCCAGCCTGACCCAGCCACTTTCCTAAGTATATTATTTTTGATAGCAGCCTTGTAGGTCAGGCTTCCAATCCAGAGTGATGCCCAGATATTTTTTGGGTAAGGCAGTGTTCCATATCTTACCCTACCAAGTAACTCAGAGCTTTTTCTCTGCTTCTCTGTTCTGTAAATGGAAGGCACAGACTTTTTAAAGGGTTTTGTTTCAGCTGGTTTTTATAATGTGAGAAAAGATTTTCTAATACCAAAGTTACCTGTTGCTCAATGGCCTCAAAGGTTTTGGAAATGTTGGTTGACCGTTTGTATAAATGTCAAAAAGTAATGGTGTCAGGACTGTCAAACTAAGGGGGAGGATTACACTTCATATCTATGCACTTTTCTAGTCTTTCCACACTGTGAGGGTTTCCACATTCTAAATTAAATGCCTGGCTCAACAATTGTACATTTGAACTGTATTCTACAGTTACTTTACGTTTATCACATTTGATGTCAAGAAGTATCTCTACAGAGCTTTTAGTGGACTGTAGTTCTGCCACAATGCTTCTTCAGACATTTTCCATTTATGAAGCTCAGTTACAAATTAAGATTTCGATATAAACTTTGATGACTTATAAACATCCAGCTATCAGAAGCCAATCCACATGGAAAACACAGAGGGAGAGGAAGCAGGGTTAGGCCCATCTGGCTCTTTTCTTAAAAAACACTTTGGGGGAGTGTTGTCTGGCCTTAATATAAGAACGTTTTTGGTATTTACATATACTGTATTTTTCCATATATAAGACTATACTTTTGTCTAAAATCTTTAGACTAAAAATTGTGGTTGTCATACACGGAAGCAAGCTAAGGAGAGAACAAAAACAAGTCTAAGGGAAAGAAGGAATCAACGTGATTCTGCAGGGCTTTGTGCTTTCCCCTCCACTTGCTAAGCCCCACTTAGATTTCTTAATTTTGGATCAGAAAAGTGGGGGGGGGGGTTTCTTATACATGGAAAAATGCAGTACTTTTTTTCTGTGTGTTCTTCCTTCTCTATTATGGCTTTTACATTTTTAGGCATGAGTACTTCCCATTTGATTAATTCTTGTATAACAGAAGGGACTGCTAAGGCTAAGATCATTAGACACTAAACACAGTGGTGCCTCACTTGACGTTAATTCGTTCCAGGAAAATCACTGTAGAGCGAAAACATCTTCAAATGAAATGAAAAAACCCATTGAAACGCATTGAAAACCGTTCAATGCGTTCCAATGCGCTGAATACCTGCTCGTCCAGCGAAGATCCTCCATATGGCGACCATTTTCGGTGACTATAAAGCAAGGAAAACAGCCGGTGGCCATTTTGAAACCCGCCGATCAGCTGTTTGCTGATCGTCGTAAAACGAAAATTGGTTCCCGAAGCAGGGAACCAATCGTTAAACATAAAAACCCCATTTAAAACATTGTTTTGCGATCGCAAAAACCTAATCGCATAGTGATTTCCTCGTTAAGTGAGGCAATCGTTAAGCAAGGCACAGCTGTAGTATTAAAAAACAGACCATTCTACTTCTATCTATAGTATACTATTTCCTCATTTCTCAAGTATTTAACTGCCCCCTTATTACCCTGTTTTCCTGAAAATAAGATCTAACCTAAGCCCTAGTATGATTTTTCAGGATGTTCATATTATAAGCCCTACCCAAAAAATAAGCCCCAGTTAAGTGAAACCCCGCCCTCCACCATTGTGCAGCAACCAGAAGATGACGTGACTGTATTTGAATAAATGTAGATTGTTGTACATGGAGAAAATAAAATATCCCCTGAAAATAAGCCCTACTGCATTTTTGGAGCAAAAATTAATATAAGACCCTGTCTTATTTTCGGGGAAACACGGTGTGGCAGTAACTGAAGCACCATTAGGTTTTCTGTGAAAATCCATTAAGGAATTTCCATTTCTGGATATGAGGTAGTTTTCCCACACACCACTAGCTTCCCAGTAGGCAATGCAAAAATCAGATAAACAGAAACAAAATCAGGATTCCTTTAGCAGGGATGTGCTTCATTATCCTCACTGTGTGAAGGTGCAAGCTAAGCAAAACAGGCTTCTTGACCCAAGCACCAGCCCTAGAATCAGTTCTGCGGCTGATGCCTGAGTCAGTGTTACTGTGGAGACGGAGGCAGGAAAGGGGCTTTATCTTGCTGAGGAGAGTTGTGTACACAGCAAAACTAATTCCTAAGAGCCAAACAGCTCCAGGTAAGGCTCCTGCCATTATGCAGCTCAGTGAGAGATCTGCAGGGTGGATTATTCTATGCTTTACAATTAGCATTACCAACTATTGCCTCACAGTTCTGCTTAAAACAATCAATTTAACAATTAGATTAAGGCATGAAACAAAGACATGACTTTGAAGTGAACAGCAACATTACTCCTGTGTAATACCATGCTTCCCCAAAAATAAGACAGGGTCTTATATTAATTTTCACTCCAAAAACACATTAGAGCTTATTTTCAGGTGGTGTTTTATGTTTTTCATGTACAACTATGTACATTTATTCAAATACAGTCATGTCATCTGGCTGCTGCACATGGTGGAGGGCAGGGTTTCACAACTGGGGCTTATTTTGGTAGTAGGGCTTATATCATGAGCATCCTGAAAAATCATACTAGGGCTTATTTTCGGGAAAACGGGGTAGAAAACTACAGTGGTGCCTCGCAAGACGATTTTAATTTGTTCCGTGAAAATCGCTGTCTTGCGAAAAAATCGTCTTGCGAGGCTCCCTATGGGAACCTCGCAAGACGAATGAAATTTATTCGTCTTGCGAAGCATCGCTCGGGGAGCTCATCTTGCAAAGCATGGTCATAGAAAAAAATGTCTTGTGAGGCACCATAGGGATCAGTAAAACCAATCATCTTGTGGGTTTTTGGCCCCCCGAGGCAATCATCTTGCGAGGCACCACTGTATTTGATCCTTTCATTTCTATTCATGAACAACTTTACAAAACACCTTTGTGAAGTAGTGTCAATTCACAAGGAAGTAAATGATAAATAACCTAATCAATAGTGAGTGTACTACTAGAACAGCATCTGTATATTCTTCAGTACTCAGGGGTACAGCTATCATGGAAGCAAACACTTCGCAGAAGAAACTGATGAAAGTACTACTGGCTTTATACCTTCCTAAGAAGAGATGCTTTGTTGATAAATTGGAAACAATTGGTTGAATCTAAATGATGTTTTTGTACTCACTAAATGACTTTTTAAAACTCCACACTGCAGGGGAAGGCAAATGCAATCCCAAGAGGACTTACTTAAGCAGAAGCAAAGTAGACACTCTACACCTCATCCTGTTGCATTTGTAAAATTCCACTGGTTATTTTTTCTTCTACTCAATCCCTTGAGTCTAAAGTATTCCGTTTGAGATGTCAATGCAACTTTAATTAAAATTAACTGTTGCCTCATTCATTCCTGTAAATTGCCCAAGTACTTCTGCTAGCAAGCTGCTGAACTTTTTATAATGAAATGTTAATACCATGCTCAAAGCATGTTTAATGGAAACACCGGATGATGAAACAATCCCTCTATCTGAAGAACAAAATCACCTGAGTAGCTTGAATTTAGTGTTATCTAAACTCAGCAGTTTCTCTGCATCAAGATACAGTATGTGGCATTATCATTAAAACAGCACTACTGTGGACAAAGTGAGGTTATTCCCAGATAAGGTATCATGCCACGGGAAGAGCTACACTCAGGACTATAGAGCAGCAGCAAGTAAGTAGAAATGAAAGATCTAAGAAACATTACAAATAATTGTTTCACTTCGAAGTCCTACGACAGAAAGGTCAAAATCCTGTTGGGCAAACTATGCCTGTGGAAGAGTAATAACTTCTCTGGCACGGGAAACTGCTGAAAGATTTTACTAATTAAAGCTTTCCTCCTCCTGCTCCACAGCATGAAATGGATTACTTGTAAACTGGACATGTCAGAACAAAGAAGGTAGAAGTCCTTTATTACAAAAAGTCTTCCCTTTGCAAGTTATACACAGACAAAAATTATGCTGCAAGATTACGGGCATATATTCCACTGTTAAAGATGATGACAAAATTAATTTTTCTTCAATAAATATTTAGTATGTGCAAGAATGAGATAAAAGGAACTATAATTTTGTTTACTGTATTAGCTTCTGTAAAATTTGTTACACAGCATTCATTAAAATGGAAGAGGTAGCATAAAAACATGTTTTGAACTTCAGTTTGAAAAATATAAAACCTTGATTCACAGAATCAAGGTGTTTTTTTAAAGGTACCACTGCCAAGTAATTATACAGAATTAGGATCAGTGCTTTCTTGTAGCAGAACTGTTCTATTACCCACTTTAATCACAGCATTCTATTAAATTCAGTATTGCACCATCGATAAGTCTACTAATCAAAATAGTATTTTAGTAGTAGTATGGTATTTTGTCAGAGGACCTATACTGGCAACGATTCTCTCTAGCTGCAGTGAAAAACAAAACATGATTTGTAGTTATACACAGTTAAGAGCTCTGCTCTTGAAGTCTCTCGTATCTGACAGAAAATGCAACAAGTCTCTTGTACACGATTTCTAAGAGTAAAAGAGAAAGAACAACAATCCAGCATACTAGGCTGAATGCCCAGCGAGGTCCCAAATGTGTGTAAAGTTGGCTGACAAACACTGGGCCAAGTATACGTGCACCACTTCCACACGCAGTTAGCCAGCCCATGTAGACTCCCTAGAACAGATCAGAAGACATTACTAGGTGTTAATTGGTTTTATTCAATAATTACTTTATTCATTTAGTTTTATAATTCACCTTTCCCACAACCAACTAAGGGGCACAGCTAAAAAATAATGCATTTTAAAAATCACAATAAATTGAGATTTTTATAACTGAAACAAAGATACTGTGTTTCTTACTACCAAAACATATTAAATGTACTTTGTAAACTCTAAAGTCAAATTTGAACTAGATATTTTAAATATCAGTTTCTGCTCTGATTATTGTATAGGTGCAGCCACACTGTCATATACTGCTTAGCAGTCAAGATAGCACAGTGCAAGCCAATACACCAATTACCAACTCATCAGCTTATCTAACAGCAAGAAGCTTGGCAAAAGATGAAAAGGGAAAATTCTTATTTGAATTTGCTACAGTAAAACTGGTAGCAGTCAGCAATTAGAAAATGATAAACATTCAAAGATGTCTAAGGGAGCACTAAAATGAATGAATAAAGACCAAAATGCATAAAATGCAGAAAACTAGAATATTGGTTGTATAATGAGAAACAAACAATTAGTATTGCTGCACCATATCATTTAAGGGAAAATGAATGGGAAAGGCATTGGGAAAATTCAAGGAAGGGAAAAACATTAACAGAAAAAGACCCACACACCAGTCCTGCAGCTGGTGCATGTTGTTGTTTAGTCGTTTAATCATGTCCGACTCTGACTGTAGAGCAGATCATTCAAGCCTTCTTAAGATGGTGCTAAAATCAACCTAGGCAGTAGTCTTCTAGTCGTTTAGTCGTGTCCGACTCTTTGTGACGTCATGGACCAGAGAATGCCGGGCCCTCCTGTCTTCCACTGCCTCCCGGAGTTGGGTCAAATTCATGTTGGTAGCTTCAATCACACTGTCCAACCATCTCATCCTCTGTCGTCCCCTTCTCCTCTTGCCTTCACACTTTCCTAACATCAAGGTCTTTTCCAAGGAGTCATCTCTTCTCATGAGATGGCCAAAGTATTGGAGTCTCAGCTTCAGGATCTCTCCATCCAGTGAGCACTCAGGGTTGGTTTCCTTCAGAATGAATAGGTTTGATCTCTTTGCAGTCCAGGGAACTCTCAACAGTCTCCTCCAGCACCACAATTCAAAAGCATCAATTCTTCGGCGGTCAGCCCTCTTTATGGTCCAGCTCTCATTTCCACACATCACTACTGGAAAAACCAGTTTTGACTCTGCGGACCTTTGGATTGGTTGGTTGGTTGAAAAGTTGCTTTGTTCCTGTTAAAACTGTGTTTGGTTTAAAAGTTGGTTTTTAAAATGTTCTTAAAATGTGTTTTGTTTGAAATGTGTGTTTTAGCCTTCTCTCTCTCTCTGTGCTTCAAAGCACAAACCTTTGTCTGAGGGGTCTGTGTGTCCCAGTGATGACCTTCTTTCTTTCTTTCCTCTTTTCCACATTGTTCTCTCCCTCCCTCCCTCCTGTCCTGCCTTTGGCTTGGCTTGGCTGAAAAAGTGAATTCCAGAGTCCTGCCTGTCTTTTTGCTGAAGAATTCTGTGGGTCAGAACGCTGGCTTGCAAAGACTGGGCTAAGGTGAATTCCAGACTCCTGTCTCTGTGTTAAACATGCTTTAAAATTGGCTTTGTTGAAAAAACGATTTCAGAAGTGCTTTTAAAACTGTTCCTGCCTCTCCCCTCCTTTCTTGAACTTTTCTTGACCTAAGGAAAAAAAAGAAAAAATATCCCCCTCTAGTGGTAGAATGCAGAATAGCAGCTTCCCATTAGTTTCTATGGACGGAAAACAGCAGATACGGATTAAATGGTTTTCATTGCATTCCTATGGGAAATGCAGATTCGACGTGCGAACTTTTCGACCTGCGGACCGCTTCCAATATGGATTAATTCCGTAAGTCGAGAATCTACTGTATTTGCAAGGCCTTGTTGGACAGCCACTTTGCTTTCTTACATTTCCTTTCCTTTGGGATGGTTTTTGTTGCTGCCTCCTGTACAATGTTATGAACCTGTATCCAGTTCTTCAGGCACTCTGTCCACCAAATCGAGTTCCTTAAATCTGTTCTTTACTTCCACTGGTGTATGTAATTTCCTCTAAATGTGGAAAAGTGGCCCACTGGTCACTTTCTGTGAAAGCTCGTTCCTGTTTGGCATGGAGACATTCTCTAGGACAGTGGTGGCAAACTGCTTTGGGTTCGTGTGCCCAGACTGGGGGGGGGGGGGGGGGGAAAAAAACCAACAGGGGGTGGTGGTATGACACGGCAGTGGCTGCAGAACTGGAAGTGGCAGCGGAAGGGGGAATCCTGGCACGGAGGTGCCTCGAGATCCCACTCCAGATCCACTGCCAGCTGCTCCAGATTCACCTGCTGAAGCGCCAACACTGCGGCTGCAGCTGCCTTCTCAGGTTTGGCTATGCGGGGGGGGGAGTAGCGATCTGGCGACTTATGGCTTGCGTGGCAGCAGAAAGGGCTCTGCATGCCACCTGTGGCACGTGCACCATAGGTTCACCATTGCTGCACTAGGAGATATGGCCCAATCAGGGTCTTTTAACTTAGTTAAGAGACAGAATGAATTGGGAGGGAGACACCAAGATGACTCAGGCAAGGGCAATGTGATCTCTGGTCATGTGTTATTTGCCTTTTCCTGGTACAGTTGTGGAGTTTACCAGAATGGGGAAAAATTAAAAGTATCTTATGCTGCTGTAATTGAATGTTAGCTGATGGCCTCCAAGTGTTACTTGGTAAGGAAATCTGTCTGCTCCTGACAAAAGTATTCCTCTGTGTTACACATCCCAAGCGTCGAAAGGCTCTAGAAATTGAGTTGTTTGTTCATTTGAAACAGGACACGTGGAAGCAACTTGGGACTTCCTTCATTATAGCTGCACTGACTGTAAAAACAACTGCTATGTGGCTTTATCTCCTTATTTCAAAGAAAGACCTTCTCTAGTAGCAAAACAATGTCAACAAGAAAACGTAAGATATGTTCTAAATTCCAGATAGTGCCCTGTTGTTACATGCACTTCTATAAGAACTTCTGGTTGAATTAGATATTGTATCTGTTTTTTTAATTCAAAGTTTAAATCTTACCTGAGGTTTTGGACCCAAAATCTTGGAATACAAAGTGTAGGACATAACATTACAGGCTGGATAACCCAGTCCCATAAGAATATCAGTGGTGATGTACTGGCCCAAAGAGATTACTGGAGTATAAAGGCACCAGGACTGCACAACAGGACACCCTGTTGTTTCAACAGTATTATTGGAAGGCAACTGTGTTTGCAATGTCCAATATACAGCAAGATTTTCACCAAAAGCTGTTCTTGGAACAGAATTATTCTTTATATCTGTTAAGATAAATAAAAATAAAGATTAAGATATTGAACAGTATATCTATACCATGTAAAGACACATATTTAAAAGATAGCAGAACTGAATAATTTTAACATTTATATATGTACCTTCCCACTGGATATTAGGTAGCTGATGCCCCCAAGGTAATAAAATAAAGAATCCAAGCAAGATTATCACTAGGCCTCCATAAAGTACTGCACGTTCACCAGTCCTGTTGGATAAGGAAAACTAGAATTACAGCTTTCATAGTAGTTAGTGTATTGCATTTTAAAATACATTTGATTCTGTATACATACAAAGTTCTGGTTTTTTTCTGTTTAATATATGGAATACTGGTAGAGAAAATATTTTAAGTGCATACATGCTTAAATCTTAAATAAAAAATGGAGAAAATTAGCAAAGCCACCCCAAAACAAAGAACCACAGACCAAAACTAAGCACTGAGTTAATTAACATATGATTGAATAACCAAATATCCATATCTAATTACTCTGCAACTAACACATGCTTGAATGCTGAAGAATTGTTAATGTACACTTGGCTCCTACTTTAGTGATGCTTGTTTACAGACAATCATATATCAATATATATATATATATATAAAAATTAAGGCCAGACCTGTCTTTATCTTAATTTTCTAAAAAGTGCAATGAAACAATATAGTTTCAGCAACTTACCTTTTGGAAAGGACTTTTACTGCTAAGAACACAATAACAGATTCAATGCCAATAGCACCAAGGATTATGCTGTTAATAAACACAGCTTTTTTCCTGGTCCAGGAATACATATCCATTGTCAATGGTGTAACTATGCTAGAAAATAAAGATACATGAACAGGGTTTGTTTGTTTGTTTTTTGCAGAACCCAACAAGGATCTAACAGATCGGGGATCTTACAGGCATATATCTCTAATAAATCAAGATGCCAAGATTTTTACTGCTATACTAGCAAATAGACTAAACATTATAGCAAATTATATTAAAGAGAATTAATGTGGTTTTATAAAGGGAAGACAAATAGATAATTTACATATTTAAGGCCTTTGATTGTGTGGAATGGTCAACATTAAAGCTGCTTATAAAGGGTTGGGGATTTGGTAGAAGACCTATAGGGGTTACAGACCAATTATATTCAGATAATATTTCAGAAGTAATAGTTAATGATGGTTTAACACAACATATTTTTCTAGGCTGAGGTACAAGACAAGGCTGTCCACTTTCACCACTATTGTTGTGTATGGTTATAGAACTGTTAGCTAATGCAATAAGAAATGATGAATTAAAGGATTAGGTAAATATGATACAATTAAGATTAATTTATTTGCTGATTACTCATTATTGACCATTAAAAACCCATTAGAAAGTATGGATAATATTAAAAAAATGTTATGTCCCTTTACTTCACCACTAAAATTAGTGACCGATATAGAAAATTTCCCAGCAAACCTGAAGGATTTAGCTGATATGTTTAAGGACAAAAAAGTTGCCAGATTGAAGGATTAAAATGAGACTGAAGGATCAGATTATAGTTAAATTTCAAACTAATAAATTATCATGGTATAATTATATCCAATTAGATAGTTGGACAAATGAACGGCTGAAAACTAATGGCAAATGTAGAGAATGTATTAAGTACGAACAATCACATGAAGACATGCAGAAAGATGCTTTGATGAAGGGAGTAGTAAGTAGAATTTATAATCTAATTTTGGAGCAAGAGGAAAAAAGACAGAAACAGAAGGTTTGAAATCAATTTGGGAAAATGATTTAAAGGCAGAAATTAAAACAGGATTGGATAAAAATTTGAAGGATGAGAGTTTTAAGATTAATGTCAGTAAGAATAAAGGAAATTTAAAAAAAAAATAGTTTAAGGTGGTGTATGACTCCGTGAAATTGAACATAATAAATTCAGACTATTCTAAGGCTTGTTGGAAATGTGATGAAGAAATTGGCACGTATTATCATATGTGGTGGGAGTGTGAATGGATTCAAAAATTTTGGAAACTGATTTTTAAGGAAATATGTGATATGTTTGGAAAAGATATTGAATTCAATTCTAAAATTGCTTTGTTGCCAATTTTTGGTAAGACAGAACTTGATTCAAAGGCACTGATTTCCAATTTTATGACAAGTGCTAGAATATTAATGGCTAGATTCTAGAAAGATAAAAATGATATTAGGTTAGAAGATTGGTATAATGAAGTATGGGACATTGCATTAAATGATAAATTGACTACTGAACTTAAGATAAAAAGAGGAAAAATAAGTTCAAATATTTTTATGCTATTTGGGGTAGATTTGTTGAATTTGTATTAGTGAAAGTAAAGGGGAAAGTCTCTAAACAACAATCAATACAATTTTGGAAAGGAAGTTTGTATTAAAAGTATTGCTCCAAGGGGTTCCGTGGGTATAGGGTGCATGTTGGTTTAGACTGCAGAGTAAGTATTTTATATTTGTTTTGAAAATTTAAAAAAATAAAAAAATACATAAAAAAGGAATACATATCCATTGTCAATGGTGTAACTATGCTAAAAAATAAAGATACATAAACGGGGTGGGGTTTGGGTTTTTTTTTGCAGAGTAGTGTGTTTTGAACTGATTATAGGTAAAATCAAAAGTAAAAACAAAAACATGGTGGCATCTTAAAGACTAACTTAGTGGACCCTCGATTTACAGACGGCTCCACTTACAGACTTTTTGAGTTACAGACTTCTCTGGCCGCAAAATTTAGGTTCGACTTGCAGCCGGAGAATTGACCTACAGACCAGAAACAAAACCAAAATGGAACACAAACGGCCGGTTACGGATTAATCAGTTTTCAATGCATTGTAGGTCAATGGAGCCTCGACCTACAGACTTTTCGACCTGCAGCCACCGTTCCAGTATGGATTAATTCCGTAAGTCAAGGGTCCACTGTATATGTTTTTTAATGTGAGCTTTCATGGTCAAGTCCACTTCATCAGACCTTCATCAGACATAAGAGCTTATGTGTGATAAAGTGGACTTCTACACAAAAGCTCACATTAAAAAAAGTTAGTCTTTAAGCTGCTACCATTTTTACTTTTGATTTTATCTGTAATGCTTGTTCAGACTAAGACAGCTACCCCTTCTACACCCTGAACAATTGAAAATGTGAAACTGAAGCCATCTGCAATGGAACTAAATTGGTAAAGTCAATTTGGCATCCATCCTAAGAGCACAATGAGGGTGAAAAACAAAAGGAAGCATCAAAGCAGAAAGCAACTAATAAGAAATAAAAACAGATCCTTGCAAAAGACATTCAGAAACAATTATTAAAAACATCACCATCGGGCACATCACCATCCAGAGAGCTGCTGGTGAGCCTGTTCACTTATCTGTTAGGAGAGTGGCAGGCAGCTCCCGAATTGCCTCTTTCTTTCATACTGGGTCAGCACTAGGGGAGGAGCAGCTAGAAAAACTGCTTCTGACTTGGCACAGCCTATTTTTCCAGTCACTGTTTGCATAAAGCTTTGGCCCCAAGGTTCACATGAAGCCTACCACTAATTGAAGAAAGAGCCAGAAAAAGCATAAAAGAACTACGACTGTTCTTTCATGCTTTTTCTGAAGGTAAGTATGCCCCTATTGCTGCCACATATCTTCCTTCCCTCCCTTTCTTCTTTCCTCTGGAGAACTGCCCTCTCCTTCTACATCAGTTTCCCAAGCTTTTTTTTTGACACATTTTAGGTACTGACAGAAAGAACCCTGCCTGAAACCATACAGGGGAAATCAGTATCAGCTATACTGGACTAGATGAATCAATGGTTTGACTTAGTACAAGGAAAGTTTCCTATGTTCTTAGGTATACTTACGTTTCAAAGATTGCAAAAACAAATAAGATGACAAAGAAAAGAATGTTTGTTGATACTACAGCAACATGGTCAATATTTCCTTGATTATCTTGACCCAACTCATCATTTTCTGTGTAAATAAAAGATGATATGATATAACAAAGGGATACAGAAACCCAGTTCAGATATAAGTTTCATTAAATAAATCAAACAATAATAATTTAATGTAGCATTAAAACTACATATAACTATACTTTTTTTGGAAAGCATTAAATATTGGCTGTTAAATTTCCTTTCAGAAACCGATGGTTTAAAGGGCATGTGTGAAGTAAAGAAGGAGGAAAGTGAGCCATCCTCACCCACAGAGACACCAGAGGAGGAGAAAGGGAAGCTAGAGGTCTGTCTGGCAGAAGGAGGAGAGGGAGGAAAAGGGGAGGAGCTAAAGTGTCAGTATGGGAGGAAAGGATAAAAAAATCAAGGAGACAGGAGATTAGGCAGTAGTTTCGAGAATGAAGGAGTAGGTTCAAAGTATGAAATAATGCATGGACTTCTGAAAGACTTTCCTAACCTAAAGGTCGGTGAGTTGTCACCAGACCCGGAGGTGAAAAGAGAAGAAGAGACGATGTTTGAAACTCAAGAATGGACAGTGATTGTTTTCCTGTGGGTACAACGAGGTGGAAGGAAGGTGATCCGGCTGGATCAGATGTAGAACAAGCCACCAAAAAAGGGAGACTGGGTTTGACACCCATGTTGCGACACCATTTGCGTGGTACGGAATGCCCCTCTGCGGAATCCCAAGGATCAGGAGCATTTTGGTCCAGCCCCTCAGTGATCAAGAACTTCTTTCCTCATCTAGTTATGGACCTTTGCCTGATTTGTCTTGTGATAACCCGGTTGCAATGGTTGTTGAAACACCAAGGGTTAATAAAGTAAAAGTTGTAAACAGTACGGACAAGTCTCGGTCGTTATTTGAGGAACTCCCACAACTTTCAAATGAACCCAATCACAGTATGTCACACAAAGCAAGAGAAGCAAATATACACTGATATTTATCACAATATTATGTTGGAAAAAAACTGAATGTGTGCAATGGTATCATGCAGGTAATTTTCCTCCTATGTCGCATGACCAAGGTAAAGGTAAAGGTTCCCCTTGACAATTTTTGTCCAGTCGTGTTCGTCTCTAGGGGGCGGTGCTGATCCCCGTTCCCAAGCCATAGAGCCAGCGTGTTGTCCGAAGACAATCTTCCGTGGTCACATGGCGAGTGCGACTTAGACACGGAACGCTGTTACCTTCCCACTGAGGTGGTCCCTATTTATCTACTCGCATTTGCATGCTTTCGAACCGCTAGGTTGGCGGGAGCTGGGACAAGCGACGGGAACTCACTCCGTCGCGTGGATTCGATCTTACGACTGCTGGTCTTCTGACCCTGCAGCACAGGCTTCTGCAGTTTAGCCCGCAGCGCCACCACGTCCCTGTCACATGACCAACTTCACATCTAATGTAGAACTGGTTGTGACAGACATGCTGGAAATGTGTGGTATACCCACTTGAACAATTACTGTTGTGTTCACAGTTCTCTGTGCTTCAGAGTTTAAATGCATCTAAACTGAACCTGTGCTGAAGTGAATTGCAAGGACACCCATCAGGAAGCGAAGACTAAATACAAATCCCTACAATGTATTTTTTATAGTGGATGGGGGGTGAGGAATACAAGGACATGTAGTTCTTTTCCTTTTACAGAACAGAGGAATAGGATAAATCATTAATGTGCACTTCTTTCAATTGCAAAATGTGACAAAAACTTGCACAGTAAACATTCTGTACACAAAAGGTCTATAAATGCATGTTGAGCCAATCTCTGTACATATTACAATTTTTCATTTGCTTTAACCAGTCTGAATCATTTCACCAGATGTCATTCACCCAGCTGAAAATCTTCTCTCATGGCACATTAACTACAGACCTAAAGTCACTACTGTGGCTAGCAGCAGTTAGTCCTTTCAAGGAGCCACAAAGCTCCACAAAGTTACAGCAGTTGTAAGAATTTGCTCCATCGTCACCTTGTCCAATAAGGCAACAATTCTTCCTGATAGTCACACTCATTGCCTAAAGCTCAGTAGATCCCCCTTGCCTAGTTGTTTCTATTATTATGTCAAAGGATACAAAAATATATTAAGTTCTCTAGAATTACCTTTTGCTGCATAGTTAATGCTATTCTGTGGATGTCCTGTGTCATCAACACGATGTTCTCTAAAAATTAAAAATGTATTAAAATATTATTTGAAAACACTAAACAAATTTTTCAGCAACAGTAATACTTAAAAGATCCAGTGCTATAGTACCACCACATTATGCTACCAATTGTTTTAATATTTCTAAGTACTATCAAAGCTATGTTGAAATAGTGCTCAGTACCACAAATTACCTGATAGTCCTTCTTGACCAGTGGTAAGAACAGCTAACTATATTCGACATAAACCTTTTATTGCAATGCATTCCTATCCATGATTACTCAAATTTTTGACTGCACATGGGTGTTCATCAAGCTTGGCATTACAAGCCTAGGTTTGCTGCACAAGAGACATACAAATTCAAAAATCCACATATAAATGTGTGGGCCGGGTTTCCTTTTTTAATATAAGTTCCATAAAGGGGGCTGCAAACTCAGCTCTGAACTGGCATATGCCTCTATCTCAAACCAAAAAGATACCTGTGTTTTGATATAGGGCCTTTGAGTTTTTCTAAACTCACCTGAATACTTGAAAGAAACAACCATATGTGGGAGATCTGCAATTATAATTCTGTAGGAATGCATTCCAAGTCTGGGTGTAACACAGGACAAAACTACTTCTCGTGTGCTTGATAAATTAATCTCTATGGGCAAGAGCATCTTTAGGCATGCCTCTTCTGCAAATCTTAATATAAAAAGGGAAATATATCTGAAGATTCTCTGTCATCTTATGATTCATCTGGAAGTTGAGTCACCGCAACTGGACTTCTTATTAGGTTGAAACATTTCGCTACTCATCTAAGTAGCTGAAGAAGAAGCTACAGTATTTGGATGAGCAGCAAAACGTTTCAACCTAATAAGAAGTCCAGTTGCCATGACTCAAATTCCAGATAAACAAGAAAGGCTCATAGCAAACCAGAAAGCTAAGGCCTAAGCCATTTAGGGCTTTCAAAATGAGAAATGAAACCTTTTATTAAGTTCAGAATACTGTAAGTAATAAATGGCTTCTTTAAATATTGGTGTAATGGCTTCAGTATCATATTAAGGACAGTGAAAATTTGGTAATGTTAAACACAATATTTGTTAATCAAGAAATTCAAACAAAAAGGAGGCCACTTTCCCATTTTTTTGTCTTGAATACTATCAGTTAAAATGCCAGTAGGGTCTATTCTTTAAGTTTGTACTCTGAAAGATATTATTAAACAAACTGCATGAGGATTTGTGGTCTAAATCTAACATAAACAAAACAAAAACTGTTAGCAGAGGTCTGTTCTACCTTCTACCTGTGCAAGTAATAACAAATGGATAAATTAACAAATCATATTATAGTACTGGACAAAATAGCCATAACACTGTTTTCAGAAGCGTAGTTTCTGAAACTTGTGAGAGAATACCAATGTTTGCTAAACAGGAAGAAAAAGCAACTCTGTCTTAAGGCTCTGCAAACACAACTGCACCAGATCCCCTCCCATTATGCTATTTAGAATTGGACTGTCACCAGTGCGATTGTGCTTGAGCCACCAGAATAAAACCTCTGGATACTGGCCAGAATTGTCTTCCTTATCTACAATGTGTACAAATTACCTTTCATAAATGAACTTTTCAACTTTCACTTTAAAAGGGCTTATGTATGAGGGAAGCTTAAAATTTCATTCAATGCCAAAAGAAAACAATCTGCAAGCCTAAGGATAACAACTTGGAAAATTAAATGTGCATAGCCAAAAAACAACAAAAAAGGGGGGGATATTTAGTGTAAACCATGTTCAGAAACATCTGAAGTTGCCAATTACCTAAATAAAGCTAGTATCAGAACAATGTTAATAATTCCTAGGAGAGCTCCGAATAGAGCGGGTGCTGTGTACATGTTCAGTTGAAGATGAATGATTTTCCACGTGATTCCTTGTTCACCCACAAATGTAAAGAGTGTCTGAAAAACTAACAAATTGTAATTAAGTTAATTACAATACAACTTAAAGAGCTTCAGTGAAAAGACTACAAGTTTTTAGCAAATTGAAACTACAATTTATTTTAATTTTCTTAGAATAGCTACCATTCTAAAAAAGGATTACAGGCAGATTTTGGTTTACATACGCCTCGGTTTATGTAATTTTCGGTTAATGAGCCGAAATCCATAAGAAATAATGCCTTGGTTTATGTTTTTACGTGGGGTTTTTGCTGTACGAAAAGGACGCATTGCGCCTGGAGTGCTGCCCCCATTGCTACAGCAATCCGTGTTCTGGTTTATGTAATTTCTGCATTATGTAACGTCCCAGATGATGGATTAATTTTGTAAACCAAGGTACTACTGTATAAAATATTTTATAAATACATCCCAGTATGAAAAAATGAATAATTATTACCTCTGCTGATGAAATGTAAAGAAATCAAATGGTACTTAAAAGATTTCTAATCCAAAATATCCTACATTAGAAAAGAACAAAAGCATGACATATATTGTACCTGGTCCCAATATGAATCCCACTGCTTGGCAAGCACTAGTATTTGCCATGGCACTAGTTCTTTCAGAAAGAGAAGTGGCACCTGCAATGTATGACCGAACTACTGCAACATTTCCTAAAAACATGAGCAGAAGAAAGCATGTTTTCTCAACACTCAATAATATGAAAAGCTATGTATCTAATTGCATCCATAATCAGCCCATTAGCTACTACAAGAGCATGCAGAAGTCTTCTTTTATCTTCTTGCCACATTTGAATGTATGTCACTAACTACACAAACCCACCCAAAAGACATATGGGAAGTACAAAGGTGTTCCCCATGTTTGTTCTAAAATGATTAACTGTACAAAACTGTGACTTTCAGAACTTTTTCAACCTGAACTCATAAAGCACAAACAAATCCTGCTTTCCCCACAGCATTTGCAGTCTAAAATTAAAAACTGAGTAAATACCCTTTTCAAGACACAGCAAACAAGAACGTCTTTAAACTAATATAACATATCCAGCTATTTCAGGCCCTCTGATGTCACAGAAGATCTCTATTACTCATGAATCACCTACATAAAACACTGCTTTGAGCTACCACTGGCTCACGCCACAGATCTGTTAACAGAAATGATATCTGTGTACATTTATATCGAGTTCACACAATGGAATTACAACTTTTAAGCAAGAGCTTCTGAAATCTATTTTGCTGGGACAACAACACTGAATGGAGCCTGTCAGCAAGAGACTTCTGTAACTGCTTATAAGATACGGCAATGTAGGTTGAATTTAGCATTACCTAAACACAGTTCATCTACATCAAAAGATGTGCCATTATCATAAAAACAGGAGTACTAAGGACAAAGAGAGATTACCAAATATAGTCTCATATACTTTCTAAAGGCAGTAACACAGGAACAACTACACTACAGCGAATAAGTAGAAATAGTATGTCACAAATTGCTCCATTATGAAGTTCAACTAGATGAAGGACAAAGCAGTGAGTTATGCCTGTGGAAAAGTGATAACATCTCTGGCAAGGGGAGATATTTGGTAATGAAAAGCTACCTCTTTCTGACTCATGGCTTGTCCGACTTATGAGTAACCTGTTTCATTGCATTGGGAACTGTGGAACAAAAGGAGGAACACTCTGATTATCAAAAATATCCCCCTGCTAGTACTGTATCTACCAATCATCAATTTAAATGCTTCTATTACCTGCACCAAACCCCACTAGTGTTCGAGCAACCAACATGTAGTATTTGTTGTGTGCAGCAGGTAAGTGGACATAGGCATACAGGCAGTTGGCAGCCACTGAAATAGCAGTTGAAACAACAAGAGGTTCTCTTCTTGGCCTGTAATTAGACCATGCACCAAACAAAGGTGACGCTACCATTTGACCAATGCTATATGAAGCAATAATCCAGCCCAGGAAACTTTCATCTGCAGTTTTATCTATCTGTAGAAACAACAAAAGTAACGAAGAATGGCACCATTTTATTCATCAGCTTCCCAGCAACACATCTAGAAGTACCACACAATATTTAGAGGTAATGAGAATATTTTATCAGCCGTTTTATTGAAACATGGTCATTTTAAGTAAATGCAATTTTAGTCACAGTCAGATCAGATATACTGAAATCAATGGGGACTTTGAACTGATTAACAATTCTCATTCATTTAAATGGGTCTAATCTAGCTAGGATTAAAAGTGTGTTGATTCTATTAAGTAAACTTGAAAATGAATATTTAAAATGGAAAACAATACTTCTGAATGTTCAATGTCACAAACTTTGGCGAGAAACAATAACAATTAAATGTTTAAAAAGTAAGAAATAGAGATGGACACGAATCTGGATAATCGGATCATGCCTGATCATTCTACCACCATAGGTACCACACTGTCCCGCTCTCCCACTCTCCTGGCCAGATTCCCCCACTCACCAGCTGGCATGTGCTCCGCTTCTCCTCCTCTTTGGTCGCTTCACCAGTCATGGCTGGAGCATGGACTTCCCTTCTCCACTTCCTCCAACAGCTGCCCACTCACACAAGGAGGCAGAGCAGGGATTGCTGCAGTGCTGCCTTTGAGTGGGCAGCTGCTGGAGAATGCGGAGAATATTAGTCCACACTCCTGCCGTGAGTGATGAAATGACCAAAGTGAAGGAGTGGATCACGTGCTGGCCGGTGAGTGGAGGAATCCGGTCTGGAGGGTGGGGGACAGGACCACACAGTACCTGTGGTGCCGGTACAATGATCCAGCAGGATCCACATTTGTGCCCAACTATAGTTAGAAGTTAAGCATATTAGAAAGCTAGATATGGAAGAACTTGTAGCTGCCTTCTTGTATTGATTTTGGAATAAGTCTATGCAACACCCTCCTGCCCCATGCCAATATTTAAGAAAAGATTATATTTAGTCAGAGTGCGATCGTTCAGGGAAATAGCTTGCATTTTGGACCACTTATGGTCTAGTTTAGTGTGAACTATTTTCCTGGAATCACATTATGTTCAGGCAGTAACAATCTAGCTCAACTACATTCTGTGGCAAAGCTGGACACTTTTGCAGGACTACTCTTTCTCTGGGGAGGAACTGGAGTGTTTCTCACATGGACAGAAGGGTTGCTTTATTTTATTTATTTATTTCATTTATATCCCACCTATCTGGTCAGGTCAGAACCACTTTATGAGAGATGCTCCCAGCAAAGCAATCCTTTCCAGTGCAATATAATGCAGGACTCTGTTATATCTAGTGACCATTCCTCCAGAAGCTACCCCAGGCTGAATTCACACTTTTGAGAACATGAACACTGAAAAACTGAAAGTAGCAGCTGCCAACATTAAGACCATGATTACAGAAAAGGATGTTTAAAATTAGCATCCTACGTTAATTGATCTCACAGACTCCACAGATTGTAATTATCACAGCCAAAAACAAAGTTTTCAGACACACCCACCCACTTCATTCTGTTTCATATTTCAGTCCACCCTAAATTACTCATTCAAATGCAGGGTATTACAAACCTTTTGAAGATAAGGCCATATCGACATGATCACAATAGAAAAACCTGCAACATAAATATTGTTATTTTAGATTGCTAGAAAGCTTTTTCTCCAGACATCTGACTAAATTATCATGCTTTCCAACGCTGAAGGTTCATAGCCTATCCCTGTCCTTTTTAAAAAAAGTTCACAATCCCTAAATAACTTTAGAATGGCACATATATCACCATCTTTTGTGCTGCATGTCCACTGAAGTCAAGGAGTAGTATGGCAGGGACGGTAAAATAGCTTACTTTGGGGTGCAACCACATTAGCAAAAATGGCAGAAAATTCTACGGGATTTGGATAGGCCAATTCATACTTTTTTCCCATTTACCACATGACATATAGGAAAATGTGGATCAGTCTGAAATCTGCACCATCCATATTTTTTGCTTCTGCCACTGAAGCATCTACTACTTTTTTTTTTTAATGAACACATCTACCTAAGTTCAAGGTAAATTGAGATTGCTTGAACCAATGCAGACAAGTGTGTTCTGGTAGTTGGTGTGACAGTGCAGCAGGTGGCGTGAGCACAAATCAAGTCTGGATGGGTTGCATCTTTGCACACAATTTTTTCCTTTCTTTCTTTTTTAAAAAACAGCTTTGTGTCAGTACTGTTGTACTAGGATATCTAGACACTACCACAAAAGTAACTGATAATAAAAGGAGGAAAGAACATCACTGCTATAGTAATTAGGAATGCAGCTTAAGTCATAAAAGCAAACAACAAATTGAAAAAAAATCAATTATAAATATAGATTACTTCTAGGAGACTGAAAGAAGGGAGATTCTACTTCCCTGGACATAGGAACAGTGTTCTTACTGCTAGTCCAAAGACTGCAACAGGGTTTGAGCAGTATCTGCAGATGGTCATTCCAAACTACTATAAAACTTTGCTTAGTTTCCTTTTCCCACCTCATCCCTTTCTTCTTTTGCATCGGTTGCTCTGGGAGAAGTGCTTCAAATAAATATTATGATAAATTATCATAAAGAGAATTCCCACTTTTAAAAAATTTACATCCAATGCAGACATTAAGGTAACACTGGAAAACATAACATTGTCTGACATCACTTTTACAAACCGACACTGCTGAAGAACATTGTAAGGTACATTATCCGGATAGCTCTCCATCGGCTCTTGTAATGCTGTAGGGTTTCTATAACACCTCCGGGGCTGTAATAATAAGAGTAACACAAAATGTTTGAGAAAGTCTACACACTTGTTCTTAATTAGGCACCAACTAGGGCAAAACAAACACTCAAAATAATCTATTACTACAGTAATTTATTTGGACACATACAACCCGTTTCTGGGGGGGGGGAGAGCCCTTGGCCAAGGAAGCTTGAAGGAAATCACAAGGTTAAGCTTTACAATAGCAACAGTACCACAATTGCCATGTCAACAACAACCAGCTCAAATCATATTAACAGCTTCCCTATTTAAAAAATAAATAAATGAATGGTAAAAAGAAAGTTTTAAGAGGCAATGGTTGTTGTAGGTTTTTCAGGCTGTCTGGCTGTGTTCTTGAGGTTTTTCTTCCTAACCTTTTGCCAGTCTCTGTGGCTAGCATCTTTTAAGAGGCAGTTCAAAAGCATATACTGATAATACCAGCCTCCTGCAACAAAGTGGTGCTAGGCTGTGTCTGAAAATGTGAAATTAATCACTCCTACAAAGCAAATCCCAAGTGATTCGCTGAAGAAGACACTCAGAGAAGTTACACCAGTTCAACGGGTCTCACAACAGGAATCAAGTAATTAATTTTAAGAGGCCAAACAGAGCCTGTGAGCTTCCTGGATAACTCCGTAGTTTAGGTCTAGGAAACCACTTCTGGCACAAGATTATTATTATTAAATAGAGTCTCTGACCTCCGATTCCTCTACTTCTATTTCTGCTGCCCAGCTCCAAAAGCAGGCCTAAAATCAAAGACTACAATTCCCCATTAATCCTCCTTCTTCGGCCCTGACAGGCACCCCCGTCAGAGAGCCGCGCCAAATCCATCTCCCCACCTGTGATCCTCGTCGCCATAACAACCCAGCAATGGCTCATCCTCCACCTCGACCACAGGCTCCACCAACGCCGCCGCCATGACAGACACCGAAACATTATACATGGGCGTGGCCCAGTCCTAGGCCACGCCCATATACTCACGAGTCAAAACACCCCGCGTGCCCGAGAGTCCAACTACCTCCTCCCCGCCCTCCTTCCTCTGACATTTAAGAGGGCGTGCGCAGGTACGACATCCTAGCCCCGCCTTCCGCCCGGTCTTCCAGCCCCATTCGTCGGCTCGCCAGTCACGTGAAGGAGAGAACCGAGAGGTACCATTGGAAGGTCAAAAACGAGAGACAGACAGACAGACGGACGAAGAGGAGAAACTTGATTGGCTCGCGAGGTGTCTTTTTCCCCGCCCCTTCGCTCAATCATTGAAGAAAAGCAGGCGCTCGGAATCCAATGAGAGCTCGACTTGTCGCGCGGGGAAAGGAACCAGAAAGGAAGAAGGGGCGGGTAGGAGGAAGGGAGCGGCGACCTTCAATGCCTTTTCTCGTTCGTTCGAGCCGGGCAGCGAAGCGTGCTGTGTGAAAAGAAAGGTGGCCAGGACTTGTAGTAGATGCTGCTCCCTCTGCAGCAGCCGGCGCTGCCTTTCTCTCGCTCGCCTTCTCCGCATCGGTAATTTTTTTTTTTTTGGCCATCTTTCGGGTTCAAGAGTCGCGGGGAGGGCGGCAAAAAAAAAAGAGTCCTCGGGATTTGCCCCGGCTCTTGGGAAACGTGCAGCCTGACTCGTCTCTCTTTGGCGGAGGGCGGCCTTGGGGTGAGGAGATAGTAAAAGCAACGCCCCGCTCTCTTTGCAACTCTACGTGTTCTCCAGCCTTCGCGTGACCGTCACAGGGCTTGCAAGGTATGGGAAGAAACGGAGGAGTGCCTCTGGCAGCTCCACACTCGCTGTGAGTTTCTGTGGCCAAGCTGGGATTTGAATCCGAGTCCCACTCCATCCCTCTATCCACGCAGACTTAGAAAATGAGGAAGCATCGGGTTTTTCTCTTAACGTGCACGAGGTCACTATCAAACCATCCTTGTTTATTAGACCAACCAGTTTGGCATGGCTCTCTTTTGCCATGGTCCAACAACCCCCACAACCCCTTCTGGTTGTGCTAACAAAAACGTTGTCACACTGTGAGTTTTGGAATTGGGTCTGTAGCCGCTTGATAGGCAACAGGTGCACCGGATACTGAACTGTCTTCTCTCAGGGGCTTACTCAGGAGGAAGTGGAAGGTCTTTATAAGCTGAAAGTACATTGATTTATGGTTTTGGTTTATTATGCTGCCTTTCTCGTGAAGGTACTCAAGGTAGATTAGAAGATGGTTTTGATTTATTATGCTGCCTTTCTCCTCGTGAAGGTACTCAAGGTAGATTAGAAGAAACAGGAATTTAAAATGAAGGAAATTAAACCATTAAAAAGCAATTGAAGTCATGAAACGTTTATTCAGAAGAGTCCAAGAAAACATAAGCAACATTAAGAGGATATAAAGGCAGCATCTAACTTGTATGAAAAGCCTGTCTGAAAAAAATTTATTATGCTGCCTTTCTCCTCGTGAAGGTACTCAAGGTAGATTAGAAGAAACAGGAATTTAAAATGAAGGAAATTAAACCATTAAAAAGCAATTGAAGTCATGAAACGTTTATTCAGAAGAGTCCAAGAAAACATAAGCAACATTAAGAGGATATAAAGGCAGCATCTAACTTGTATGAAAAGCCTGTCTGAAAAAAGCTTTTTGCTTGTCACTGAAATAACAGGTGAGAGGGAGCCAGTTTAGCCTTATGAGGGCATTCCATAGCCTGGGTACACCCACCAAGAAAGGCCCCTTTCTTAGGTCCCTGTAAAATGTACCTATAAAGAGGACAGAACTGAGAGCAGGGTAAATTAGTTCCATGGTTTTATCTTTTTATTAGGGATTTATCTCTCTGTGTCTCCTTTCCTGACTTTTCCAGCATTACAATCTCCTGTTCATTCACTGAAGAAACAAAATGGATATATTTGAATAAAAAAGCCTAGCCCTGTGCTGCTCACAGTATGCTGATCTATTTGTCTTGTATCTATATGAGGAAGGGTAAATTCAGGGGCAAGTTGGCAGTGAACCATTAATTCCTCATCCTGCAGTCGCCGCCTCCATATGTGGAAAGCTTTGTTTGCTCACCAAGGTTGTGACTTTTGGCAGGCTAGAGGTGTTTTCCATTTTAAAGGATTATCTGTTCTCCAAACTATGTTTATGACAGCGAGTGGGTGTTCCTTTTTTCACATTGTTTTCTGGAATCCTGAAACATGGCAATCCTACTTTAGCCAAATGATCTAGTAGTTGTGGGGGTACTATCATTTTAAAAAATGTACACTAAACGAAAACTATCATGTGCACTGGTTCAGCTGCATTGCCCTGTGGGGAAAAAAGTAGTTCAGGTAATTTAGGTACTTGTACCATTGCCATTAAAGAGAGAAATGGCTTCTGTAGTAGGCTTTTTGGGGACTATGTGTTAAATAGTCTGTCCCCTAACAATTCTTTAGGAAAAGTGCTAAAGGAGAATTTACAGTATTTTGGGAGCTAACGCCATCTGTTGGTCTCCAAAAAGAGTAGACTAAAGTCCAGTTTGTTCAGTATGTTTACTGTAGATGGAGCTAACAATTGTATTTATTCCTATGTTAAAAGTTATTGTTATGACGTGGGCAGTATTATGTCTTCTAGACTAGATGCTGTTAATATTTTGACATGCACATGATACTTGACTCATTTTTTTGCACTTTGAACTTTTAGGTATATCAGATGAAGAGACTTAATAAGATTGAGCTAGCAAGATCAACAGGTATGAAGAAATTACAATATTTATTTCTTTATTTAATTTATATGCCGCCCATACTACCCAAAGGTCTCTGGGCGGCTTATAGATGGATTCCACAGAGGTGTTAAATATTTGAGAACTTTGGCAGAAATGGATATTTAATTAAAGATTAAATCGCACAGCTGGTCTTGATGCATTCAAAATCATGGGGTGGGGTTAATCATAAATTGCCATAGATTTGGGATAGGGAAACTATACTTCACTGTAGAAAAATGTCATCGGTATGCTTTGTTCTACTGCTACAATTAATACACTGATCTGAAGTAAATCATGGTGGTGGGTGCACAGTGTGTCCAAATGATGACTACAGTAGGCTGCTATATCTGCGGGGGATTAGTTTCAAGTCCCCATAGAAAACCATGGATAATAGCGAACCTGAGAGAAAGATTCTTATTGATTTTATTGTTCACTCTTCTTATTTTCAACATTCAGGGCTACAACACAGGCTTTACTGCACACCAAGTCACTGACACAGTATGCAACAAATAATGTCTATGGAGAATTCTTAACTTACAGCACTTTGCTTCCAAGGGTTATGCACGTTGCATACTTGTGCAACATAATTTCAGCCATTATATTGTAACCTTAACATATTTTATTAAAAGTTTTAAAAACATGACACAATTTAAGCCTTGTTAATTTTCATATGGTATATGTCCTAGTAGGGGACTTTACACATTGAACAGCTATCAAAATTTTTGAAATCATCTATGCAGTGTCAGGTAAGCATGTGATTTAATAGGTTTTTCTACACAAATACTTGAATTGCGGTTGCTACAAGGAACAATGAGCAGACTTCATGGATATAGTAAAATGAGAAGACAAGTGACCCTGGTGAAACATTAACTGTCTTTATGTTATGTCAGAAGTATGGCAGGTTAGTGCTGTTTGCTTTGTTTGATAAGCAGTAACTGAGCACAGCAACAGTACTGAAATTGTTATTTTATATCAGGGTTAAAAGAGGAAAATTAATTAAAATTCCTCCCTATGCATTAGGTGTGTACTCCAACTGTTGTTGGCACCTCAATTTAATATGGACTTGTAACTATCCACAGTATTGCTAATTTCATTTTGGTAAACTCAAGAAGAATTATGCTTGAGAGGAGCCTAAGGCTTTGACTGTCTCTGCAACTAGTCATTCTCAATTGTCTTTTTGTTCTCATACCATTGTGTGAGGTTATCATAGCTGTTGCATGGCTATTCTTTGGCCACAGCAGCTGTACACAATTACATTGTGTCCATCCAAACCAGTCTCCAAGATTCACCAGTAGTACCTTCTTCCTGCACATTTTCTCCTATTTGTTTTGCTTTTCTAAAACTTTTTCCCAATTAGACTGTTTTCTCAATACTCTTCTTTTGTTCTTTCAAACAAAATTTGATTTGTCTACTAGTGAATAGAAAAACATTAAAGGTGTGTAGAGCAAGAAATCCACTCTATTAAAATGGGAACAGGAAGTTAAAAATACAGCTAATAATATGATTAACAAAAGCATTATGTTGATGTGAATCATGCTTGAAAAAAAGGCCTAACTAAAAATACATTTTAAGTAGGAATAATTAGGAATGTTCCACACTGTAGGAGCTGCAACACTAGGTTGCCATTATGTTTTTGTGTTTTAAAAAAGTTTGATTTCTTTCAGCCAACACTGTATATGATGATAAAAGGATGCTCCAGTTAACAGCCCAGCAGTTGCATTATGTAATAACTGTATTTTTGGACCTGTCCCATGAAAAGTCCCATAAATGCTCATTGCAGTTATTAAATCCTGAATATGCTAGTGCAGTTATACAATCATGGTCAAGGAAGGGCCATAGATGGTGTATCAGCTGATGCTAGGAAACATCATTTTATTCCACTAAGACATCCAGTTATAAAAATGGATCTAGGAGTATCTCTTGACCGGTGAAGGCAAACCATTTTGGGTCGGAGTGCCCAAACTAGGGAGGGGACAACGAGTTGTGGGCCGCAGTGGAACTGAAAGTGGTGATGGAAGAGGGAATCCCAGGCACGGAGGTGCCTCAAGACCCCACTCAGGATCTGCCACCTGTTCCAGCTGCTCCAGATCCTGGCCTGCCACCTGTCGAAGCGCCAGCACCACAGCTGCCTGCACAGGTTTGGCTACGGGCAGGGGAGTAGCGATCTGATGACTTATGGCTCGCATGTCCGCAGAAAGGGCTCTGCGTGCCAGCTGCGGCACGCGTGCCATAGATTTTCCATCGCTGCTCTAGAGCAATAGTCCCTGTGGTGTTCGACCTTGTTGCCCCTGTTTATTTTGGCCCTCACAAAAGCTCACACCCTTTTCTCTTCTAGCTGCCACCAAGTATTATCCTCCTAATACTGATTATGTAGGTGATACATGTGTGCTACTAAAGCTAAGGTTTATTAAACTTGGGAATCATAGGTTTGAGTAACATATTCATTTATTCTCAAGTAAATCACAAAGGTAAATCACATACGGACTGTATCAGGTATTATCAAGGATTTGATTATGTATGGGGTTGCAAGTACGTTTATTCTGAACTACTATATACTTTTAATCAATATATTATAGTACTTATGATTTAATTCTTGCTTATTCAATATATTTTAACCTTCTCAATTCCCTCTCTTAACTCTCTCAGTTCAATCCACTAACCCTCTTCTTTTCTCTGCTAAACCCTAACTGCCATTTCACATCCCCAACTGTCTAACTCCGCCCCTCCTGCCCTATCCTTGGCTCCCCCTTTTTGAGCTGTGATGGACAGCCAGGAATGACGTCACCTGTTGGCATTTTGCCACAGTCCCCAACCTTTGTGACACCACAGTTGGGAGAGGACAGGGTCTGTGTGCAGGGAAGGCGGGGCACTCTTGTGCGCATGGTGGACAGAAGAGCAAAATTCCTGAAAAATGAGGGTGGTTCGAATGGTGGATACAGAACCCAGATTAACTTCCAAACAAATTCAAGTTGATCTGCAGACAACAGAGCACAACAGTGTCAGCTCGCACTATCCATCACCATCTGAATCAAAAGGGACGCTATGGTAGCAGACCCAAGAGGACACCACTGCTGACACAAAGGCATAAAAAAAGCAAGACTGGAGCATGCCAAAACTTATGTGACAAAACCACAATCCTTCTGGGAGAACGTACTGTGAACAGATCAGACAAAAGTAGAGCTTATTTGGTCAAGGACATCATGGCACTGTTTACAGAAAAAGAAATGAGACCAGATCTGAATCCCATAGAACAGAGGTCCCCAACCCCTGGTCTGCGGCCCAGTGCCTGTCCGTAGGCTTCCTTGAACTGGGCTGTGGAGATGGATCTCCGCACACACGCAAGGTGGGTGTGTCACACTTGCAGGTGGGCGTGTTGCATGCATGCGCGTGAGCGCAACATGCTCCTCTGAAAGTGTGAGGTGCCCCTGCTCACGGAGCCTGCACCCCTAACCAGTCTGTGGTCCAAGAAAGGTTGGGGACCACTGCCATAGAACACCTGTGGAGAGGTCTCAAAACAGCAGTTGGGAGAAGGCATCCTTCCAATCTGAAGGCCCTGGAGCAGTTTGCAAAAGAAGAGTGGTCCAAGATTCCAGTAGAGAGGTGTAAGAAATTCATGGTTACAGGAAGCGATTGATTTCAGTTATTTTTTTTCCAAAGGGGGTGCTACGAAATATTAAATTAAGGGTGCCATTAATTTTGGCCAGTGCATTTTTGGGTTTCTGTGTGGCATTGTATCAGTTTTGACTTTTCTTCTCTGTTTCTTTGTTGTTCCAACGCAACCCAAAGAAATGAACATGTGAATACCAAAACAGTTGCAACTGCAACGATTTTCTGAGAGTAGGGTTTCATTTTCTGACAGAATTGCAAGGGTGCGAATATTTATGGCCATGAATGTACTTCGCTTCAAATTATTGTTATTGGGTGGCTAAAGTCTAAGATTTACAACACATATTTGAGATTTCATCACATTAGTAAGTTGAAGTGTCTGTGAACCAACAGTTCTGACTCCTAATAGAACCCCCCCCCCCAAAAGCGGGGAGAACTTTAAGGTTACTGTCTGAAAAGCAGCTTTGGGAAGTCTTCTAAAAGTGAAGTAATCTCAAGCCAAACTCATGCAATTAAACTGATTTCTCAGTGTGAACCCTAACACCTCTTTGCAGCTTTTTTCATCATTATATGGTGCACTATCTTTTTCATCTAAATTGTTTGAACTACTGGAATTTTTCCAACATATCCATCTGCTAAGACTCAGATCCTAAAATTAGGCCACTCTGTACTCTCTGTTATGCTGCTTATTCAATATCAAGCCTCTCTCTGTTTAACCATCTGTCCTCTTTATCCTTCTGCCCATCTTAATGTACTTAATGTCCCTGTTTTTTGTTTATTGTATTTATTGTATAAAGCAGTCTAGTATAAAATCTTTTAGATATTTACAGTGTAAATCTTGTTATATAATTATGTGCCGTATTTTTCCGTGTATAAGACTATACTTTTATCTAAAATCTTTAGACTAAAAATTGAGGGTTGTCTTATGCACGGAAGTAAGCTGAGGAAAGAAGAAAAATTAAGTGGAGGGGAAAGCAGGGATCAAAGTGATCCTGCATGGCTTTGATCCCTGCTTTCCCCTCCACTTGCTAAGCCCCACTTAGATTTCTTAATTTGGGTTAGAAAAGTGGCGGGTGGCTTTTACATGGCAAAAAACAATTTTTGTGCTAATCTTTTTGTGACTAATATTCAAGTCAAAGGTGATATAATGTTTGAGGCATGGAACTGTGAGCAAGAAAATTTCTATCTCGGGTCTCTCCAAGATAAAACTCTAAGCTTCTGTCTGCGACATACTTTTTCATGTAGAATTAGCAACGCTTTCTCCACCCTCTCACCATTCGTACACACTTGATATTCACGTATTGAACAAAAGTTCTCATGAGAACACAAGAGCCATGCTGGATCAGACAAAGTTTATATACTTCAGCATTCTGTTTACTCAGTTGCCTATGGGAAATCAGCCAGGAGGGCATGAACTGAAAGCTCAGTAGACCTTTCAAACAAACATTGCAAAACTGCAGAGTACTATTTCATTTCATGCCTTCAGATAGTATGTAGCAGGAACCCTCTTGTAAGTTCTGCTTAGATTTGTATGAGCAGGGGTACTGCTTACTAAGTTACAAGCTAAAATTATTGTGATATGCGTGCTATGTTGCATGTACTTTATTTTTTGAGCCACATTGAAAAACGTTTTGAAACTGATGGGTGAAGTTAATCGCAATAAACATATGTCATGTTGGTTTCCAATGTATGAATGTAATGACTGACTTGGATCAACACCTAGCATTTAGAATATGCATTTTCTCCTTTTGGAGAAAGACGAAATAGACAGAAAGGCTTGGGTCCTTTCAAGGAGAAAAGGGGGGTAAAATATTTTAAATAAATAAATTTATAGTATTTTTGTTTCTTCTATAGAAAGGACTACAACTCACCCTGAGAGATTTCTCTCACTTGGAAACTCTTGAATTTTCAATAAATTATAAGGTTAAGTCTATAATTTCCTCAGAAAGTCCATTTAACTTGCAGAAAACTTTTAAGTGTGTATCATGAAGCTTTGCTTGTGTTAGTCTGAGTAAGAAGGTTCAGCAAAAGGTCAGTTTATTGACCACACTGCTATTCTTACTTTTTACGTTGTTCCTGAAGTCAGGGGGCAATTCTTTCACAGTACCTCTTGTTTTCCAGGGTAGTGTACAAAGGGAATTTGGAATACAGGGGCATCAGTTTCTTAATCAGGTCTCCAGGTTAACTGCAGTTTGCAAGGGAAAAAAGGGTCTGTTCTCTAATTTCCCATTAGGCTTTGAGGAAAGCCTGAAAGAGAACAAGACTTGTTCGGCTTCTGACATTTCCAGAGCCTCAAACAAAGTGAGAAGACAAATGTTTTTCTCCCTCCAGATTCTCCATCCACCACAATTAACAGGCTAGAGTAAATGCCTGCCACACAGGATGAGACACCTTCTGAGTCCTCTGTAACATCCAAGGGAATCGTAGAGAAGTAGTGCTTCACTTTGTACTGGTTTTCAGAGTTGCAGCCATGTTAGTACTTTGCACTGGGTGTAGGGGAAAGGCAGATACTCTTTTTGTGGTTGTATGTAGTCTCCCACTTCTTATATATGTGTTGTCTGTGTGTGTGTGTCTAGACTGTCTTACATGTTAACTTCCAGAATTTTTCAGCGAGCAATACAAGAGATTATATACAAAGAATGAGATTGCTACTTAATAATTTTTGTCTGTGTTAAAAAACATAATATTCCCTCATACCTAGGTCTACAAATATGATAATAGATGTGCCATCAGTTCAGTTCTGACTTATGATGATCCTTCTCATGATTTTTTAGGTATGTAATACAGTGGTGCCTCGCTTGACGACGTTAATCCGTTCCAGCGAAATCGCTGTTAAACGAAATATCGTCAAGCAAATTTTAAAAAACGCATTGAAAACCCTTCAATGCGTTCCATTGGGCTAAATACCTCATCGTAAAGCGAAGATCCTCCATAGGGCAGCCATTTTCCAGTGCCTGTATAGTGAGGAATCCGTCCTAAAGCACAGGGGGGAGCTATTTTGGACAGCGGGTGGCCATTTTAAAGCCGCCAATCAGCTTTCTGAAAATCGTCATCTAGCGAAAAATCGGTTCCCGAAGCAGGGAACCGATCATCATGAAGCGAATTTTTCCTATTAGAACATCGTTTTGCGATTGAAAAAACCTCATCGTCAAGCGGTTTTGTCGTTTAACGAGGTAATCGTTAAGCGAGGCACCACTGTACTCAAGAGAGGGTTACCAGTCCCTCCTTGTAGGAGCTATCTGAAACTGTGTAGCTTTCCCAAGGCCACACAAGCCGGCAGTTCTCCCAGGAGGCACACTGGGGAATCAAACTCCTGACCCCTGGCTTCAGGTGCACCACCTAGCTATACAAGGAATGGATGCTTTAACCAACATGTTTTTGTTAAGGGTTCTTGACTCTTGTAAAGTAATCAAATGCCTGCCCTGCCATTTAGGAGATTAAGGAGGTATAATTTTTATTGACTGTCTGATTTCATCTCGGATGCAGATAAAATGAGCAAATGGTTTTATAAAAATACATCATATCTAAATGGTATGAAGTTCTAATTTAATTCCTGAATGGCTTTCTGAAGCAGTGCATGTATAGAACTGTGACTACGGAAAAGGATATACAAAACCTAGTGCACAGTTTCTAAGATTGTTGTCTGAAAGTTACATTATGCATAGGTATTTTTATGATTAATGTTTGGTGGTGTTATAAATAAGCACAGCTGCACTTCATAGAGTAAGAAGCAGTATACAGTACTACTTTTCAGCTATAACGCCCTGCCTCTGCTATTTTTCTAGATGTCTTTTACTAATGGGCGTGAGCAAGCTAGATGTCTTGTACAGGCGCCTTCTTCTCACTAAACTTTTCATACAAGGATGGGGTAGACCAGAAGACTTGAAAAGGTAAATTATCTCACACTTTTAAGCATGCATACTCTTTATTCATTTTAAATATGACAAAATGTGTGCTCCATAGCTTCAAAGTTTCTTCACACATTGAGAGCTTAGAATTTTTTGATAACTGCATGTATCAGAAAATTGCATACCACATTGCACAAAGACTAATATTTGTGTTGCAGCATTCTGAGAGAGGGGGCAAGAAGAACTGAACATCTAATTTACACAGTTATAAAATAGAGTTATGTACATTCTTTTTGGGCTATATGTGTATTAATATCTGAAACCAGATCCTATTTTTTCCTTAACAGAATATTTGAATTCAGAAAGATTATTGGAAACAGGGAAAAATGTCAGAATTTGGTTTCAAGAGATTATCCAGTGCACATTAATAAGGTATTAAAATGAATCAATACATTTATAGTTTAAGATTCTATTCCATTTCCCAGTTTCATCCTAATTATAAATATGTATGACTATTTATACATAGTCTTTGACTTTGACATTAGAATCTCCATTTGTTCTGAGCCTGTTAAATAAGATCAACCAAAGTAATTAATCCATAAATATTTGCTGAGCTCTAATCTGATTTAATTACCTGGGAGCTATCATAAGTATATCACAGAAGTGAGTACATCCTCTCACATTTCATAAATATTTTCGTATATCTTTTCATGTGACAACACTGAAGAAATGACACTTGGCTGCAGTGTAAAGCAGTGAGTATACAGCTTGTATAACAGTGTAAATGTGCGCCCCCTCAAAATAACGCAACACACAGCCATTGATGTCTAAACCACTGGCAACAAAAGTGAGTATACCTCTAAGTGACAATGTCCAAATTGGGCCCAAGTAGCCATTTTTCCTCCCTGGTGTCATGAGACCTGTTAGTGTCACAAGTCTCAGGTGTGAAGGGCGAGCAGATGTTATCTCTCTCTCTCTCTGTGTGTCTCTTAGACTGGTCACTGGAAGTTCTACATGGCACTTCATGGTAATGAACTATCTGAGGATCTGAAAAAATGAATTGTTGCTCTACATAAAGATGGCCTAGGCTGTAAGAAGATTGCCAAAAACCCTGAAACTGAGCTGCAGCACGATGGCCAAGACCAGACAGCGGTTTAACAGGACAGGTTCCGCTCAGTATAGGCCTCGCCATGGTCGACCAAAAAAGTTGCGTTCCCATGCTTAGCATCGTATCCAGAGGTTGGCTTTGGGAAACAGACTTATGAGTGCTGTCAGCATTGCTGCAGAGATTAAAGGGGTGGGGAGTCAGCCTGTCAGTGCTCAGATCATATGCTGCACACGGCATCACATTAGTCTCCACAGGTGTTTTCCCAGAAGGAAGCCTCTTCTAAAAATGATGCACAAGAAAGCCCGCATACGGTTTGCTGCAGACAAGCAGACTAAGGACATGGATTTTTGGAACCATGTCTTGTGGTCTGATAGACCAAGATAAACTTATTTGGCTCAGATAGTGTCAAGCATGTGTGGCTGCAACCAGCTGAAGAGTACAAAGACAAGTGTGTCGTGCCTACAGTCAAGCATGTTGGTGGGAGTGTCATAGTCTGGGGGTGCATGAGTGCTGCTGGCACTGGGGAGCTACAGTTCATTGAGGGAATCATGAATGCCAACATGTACTGTGACATACTGAAGCAGAGCATGATCCCCTCCCTTCGGAGACTGGGCCGCAGGCCAGTATTCCAACATAACGACCCCAAACACACCTCCAAAACGACCACTGCCTTGCTAAAGAAGCTGAGGGTAAAGGTGATGGACTGGCCAAGCATGTCTCCAGACTTAAACCCTATTCAGCATCTGTGGGGCATCCTGAAATGGAAGGTGGAGGTGCGCAAGGTCTCTATCATCCACAAGTTCTGTGATGTCGTCATGGAGGAGTAGAAGAGGACTCCAGTGGCAACCTGTGAAGCTCTGGTGAACTCTATGCCCAAGAGGGTTACGGCAGTGCTGGAAAATAATGGTGAGGGGTGTACTATATGGACACTTCGTGCCCAATTTGGACATTGTCAGGGGTGTACTCACTTTTGTTACCAGTGGTTTAGACATTAATGGCTGTGTGTTGCATTATTTTGAGTGGACAGCACATTTACACTGTTATACAAGCTGTATACTCACTGATTTACATGGTAGCCAATTTCTTCAGTGTTGTCACATGGAAAGATATACTAAAATATTCATGAAATGTGAGGGGGTGTATTCACTTCCGTGATATACTGTGTATAGCACAGAGATTACAGAACTTGACGTATTGTTTTGGACCCAGCTATTGTGTTATACTAATTTGAAGGTACATATTAAATTTGGCAGTCCAGAGCTCTGGCAGAAAAGACTTTCCATTCACAAAGAACATTCCAATTTTATATATTCCCTTTCAGTTCCCTCCATCCCCTTCCAAAACATCAAAGAAGGACTTTACCTTTAGGATGTCGAAACAGCCAGCAGAGCTTGTTAGAGATATAGAGTGGTCATACAGTAATTGACTAGATAGGCGGGATATAAATACAATAAATGAATAAATATAAAGGCACACTTTTACCTAGATGTGACATTCTCCTTCAGTATCATGTCCAGTTAAGGAAACACTGGAAAGGCTTCTCCTGTCATTGGTGAATCCTCTCAGTTACTAGTTACTTTTTGTTCTTCTCAAAGCTATATCTAAAAGAGTTTTGTTTTTAAATGGGAAGTCCATAATTTAGAATCTCTGATAATAATAAGAGTGTATCATCAAGTTGATTATGACTTATGGTGATCCTTTCCGGGGTTTTCAGGGTAAAGAATACGCAGAAGTGGTTTACCATTCCCTTCTTCTGGGAGTGCCCTGGGAATGTGCAGCTTGCCCAAGGCCACACAGGCTGGCTCTTGTCCCAGGAGGCACAGTGGGGAATAAAACTTCCAATCTCTAGCTCCATAGCTTGAACTCCTTGTAAGCTACTAGAGGTTCTTTCATAGAACTGGATTTCTTTTGGCAATAGATGTTTATTGGACAGCCACATTAAAAATGCAATGTTGTTCCAATAGGTGGAAGAGCATTCAGACTGTAAACTCCTGGATGGACACTTCATTTCCCCCTTGGCTCATTATGTTCCAGGCATCATGCCATCAGAATCCGTCACAGCAAGGTAACAATAATCCAGTAAACAAATAACAGTGTATATATTGCTAACATAGTGAGATTTATTTGTTACTGAGATAGCCTGTTTTAGAATTTCTCAGGCAATGGAGAATAATAATTGCATGCCACTGAATGAGCCCAACCTTGCTACACTTCTTACCAGTCAATAAGCTGGACTGCTTGGGCTAATACATGCATCTATGTTTGTCCATGTTTCAGTTAAAAACATCTGAAAAGGATTTGCAAATTATTGGATTATAATTCATAAATGTGTCTTCAGTTTGAGTAAGGTCTATGTGGACCAGTCTGTGTACTGGTCTACCAGCACAAAGTCATCTTGGGAATGGTTAGAGCAATCAGGACTTACTCCATATGTGGTCCGGGAACTTCATTTTAAAATACTGTCATAGTAATAGTGCAAAATCATAGAATCATAGAAAAGTGAAGTTGAAAGAGGCCTGCAAGGCCATCGAGTCCAACACCCTGCTCAGTGCAGGAATACAATCAAAGCATATCTGCCAGGTGCTTATCTAAGTTTTTATTGAATGCCTCCAATGTTGGAGCACTCACCAACTCCCGAGGTTACTGATTCCACTGTTGTACTCTTCTAATGTTTCCAAAAAGTTTTGATGCTAGATTATTATTTTTTTTTAAAGTAGGTTATGAGTATCATTGAAAGGTTTTTGAACAGAGGTTCACTCCATTGCTAATTGAGTTTGGAAATCAACTGGTTTTCACAACAGTTCTTATAAAAATTGTGAGAACTCTTCCAACCATGATCTTCTATACTGGGTTTTTGTTTTTGTTTGCTTGTTGCCTCCTGGATGCTACCCCAATACATTCTGGAGGTTTAAAAACCTGTCACTCTTTATCTGAAATCTGTTTTTATCTGATTGCAAGACTCAACTACAGTAGGCCCTTTGAAAATGTCATGAGTCATCTCTGTAATTTCCATGGATTGAAAAGACCTGCTCTCATTGTGACTTACTACTGGATTTCAGCCCAGATGGCAGAAAAAATATCAATACCATCAGAGCACAACTGGGTACAAATGTTCCATATGAATATGCATTAACAGGAATTACCCCAGTGTGGAATCCGTGGCCTTTTAGTCAAAAGTTGCCTTTTTCATTGATTAGTGAAATGCTTTGGGCAAAAATGTGTCAGTAGCATTTGATACATTGAAGAAGTATATATGTTACTTATTGGTTAATTTTATTTAATGCATATAATGTTTGATTTCTTTTCTACAGGTTTCAGTTTATAGTACCAAAGACATGGAACAGCAAACACAGACCTGTGTGTATTCATTTAGCTGGCACTGGAGACCATGTAATCATACAATATTCTTTATTAATGCTTTTTGAAAATCTTGTTTGAAATACTTATTTTAAAAATATGTTAGTACAATCTAACCTATCCTTTTTAAATATTTGTCTTCTAGTACTTTTGGAGGCGGCGAACTTTGATGGCCCGTCCAATGATTAAAGAGGCCAGCATGGCTTCAGTATTATTAGAAAACCCTTATTATATCCTTTTCATATCAAAAAATTACATATGAAATACAAATCCAGAGAATAAAGTGCTTACTATCTACTAAGCTTGGTAATATAAGAGGAGAAGATGTTGAAATGTACCAAATTTAGACCAAAATTCTGCTGTATAAATTATATCTATGGGAGAGTGATGATGTCACCAGCAGGAGGAGAATTTTTTTTTTAAATTAAAGAGTTTGTCCTTCCGTCCTGCAGTTTGACTCATGAATAATCAGTTTCATTTCGTGGGAGCTATGGGACAGAAGGAGAAAGTCTTTAATTATAGAAAATCTCCCTTTGCTGATGATGCCATTACCCTTCTGCAGGTGTAACTTATGCAGCAGAATTTTGGCTGTTATAAACTATTCATATGATACCTGTTTGCATCATTGTGGTGCAAATGGAGTTTAGAAATTGACTGAAACTATATCTGAAAAGAGAGCCAGTGTGATGCAATGGATAGTCAGACTAGATGTTAGACCTGAGTTCAAATACTCTCTCAGCTGTGGAAAATAGGGGTGTTGGAGAGCTGGCAATAGTAAACCACTCCTTGAGGATCTCACATACCAGTTGGAAGCAAATTGCTGGCACATGACTACAAATACCAGGAAAAGATGGCCTACAATTACCTGATCTAATGAAGGGTGTCAATAGTTTTAGTTGAAAAGCAGGGTTATCAGAGCAGGATTCTAAATTTTCAATAGAAATCTAGTAATACACCTATGTTATATGTACCTCTAAATAATGGTATGTGTTTATAATTTTATATATGGTTGAAATGTTTTTGAAATACTCTCTTTTAATGGCTGTATCCACAGATCCCAGAAATGGCTACCAAAATCTTCTGTTTAAAGAAAACAGACTTTCCCAGGCACAAAGAAAAGCAGGCAGAAGGATAGTTTTAAGGAAGATTAATGGAATGTGTATAGCCTCTCCTTTGAAATAACTTCTGTGGAAAATTCCCACACTTCATTTGAACATGGTTCTCCTGCGGCTCCTGAGAGGCGAACTGTCAGAAATATGTGAAGGAGTGGGAGGGGGGGATGAAGTGTTGTTCTCCAATTTGAGTGCTGTGTAAGAGCTGCTCTTCAGTTTGAATGCTTCACATTTGGTCTATCAGTTCACACTGGTCTTCTTTTAATTGGTTCTGAGGATGTTGTTAAATGTGCCTTTCTTTCTACAGAGATTCAGACAACTACGATTCAGATAAACTGCACTTAACATAATATTTGTATTTAGTGTTAATTTTTCTTTGGTTTTAAACTTTTAAATGACAATAATGTTAATGAAATTTTAAGGCACGATGTGTTTCAGTATTAGTTTCTTTGACTGATATCTGTACATGGATACAGAAAACCTAAAGATCAGAGGTAAGTATCCTTCAGATATTCTTGTCAATTTTCTTTCTTTTTGTCTTTGTGATATTTTGTGATTATTGGAGGAGGGAGGAATAATTATTTCAAGGCACATTAGTGCATGATGCAAACAGAAATGTTGAAAGTTGCCAATTCAGTGGTTTCACAAATTTTAAAATGACTTGCTACCCCTTTATTGCTATGTTTTCAGATCGTTTAAACTCTTTCCATCTTGTCCATTTACCCAGGAGCTGGATAATCAAAGCTATAGAAACTGGGTCATTACATAGAAGTGAACATTCTTAGTTCACCATGGTTTTCCCCAGTTAAGTTCATGAAACCAAGAAAACATGTAAGGAAGCTTTGTGCAAAAGAAACAGTTTTGATCTTGTAAATAAATTCATGAGCTGAATGTAGCTATAATGTACTGGACTCCAAGCTTGTCCATTGTACAACCTCTAAAGTTACGTTGTTCAGTTGTATCTGTAATGTTACTATAACACTGTTTCTATTTAATAAAACACAACCTGAAGTTTCAGAATAAGTAGCACTGTAAAAATAATTTATATCAAGATTATGGAAAATCATTTTAAATACTTTACATTACACTAGTTGTGTATTCTACAATTTATCTGATAGCCTCTATTAAACTCTGCAGCTTTTCTCCTTTGTCATTTCTATCTACAGCGTACAGCCTTAGGTTAAGACACTTTGTGGGGATTATAAATGTTGCTAGCATATTTAATTATTATGAGCATTAAATATTTAAAAATCAGTTTGCTTTTCTTTACTTGGGAGGAAAGAAGGTCATGTCTGAAAAATGTTTCTGACCTGTTCGTGATGGGAGGCGCTCTTGTGCTAGAATCAGCTGCTCTTTTGCACTGGCTGGAGAGGGAAGGCTATGGACCCCTAGGGATGACTGGAATATCCATGGGAGGACATGTAAGAATTTTAAACAAAATTAGTGGTTGTGATCGTGCATTCAAAGATTGCTTAGGTTCGTTATGCTCATGCCCTTATATGTTTTCTATTTCTTCTAGGAATGTTTACAGTAGAACTTAACACCAAACATAAGCCATAAATTACTGCATATGAGATGTAACCCCACACCAAAGACTCATTGAGCCAATGAATATTTAGAATGTTTTGCTTGTGAATTTGTTTCATTTCCCTTCCCCACCTCCGCATGTCTGATGAAGTGGACTTGTCCCCAAAAGCTCACATTAAAATATAATAGTCTTTAAGGTGCCACATATTTTTGTGTGTTTTGTTTCTTTGGATTTTGCCTAATATACTTGCACAGACTAACATGGCTACTTCTAAAACTACAATTTCCTTCAGTATAATAACTGAAACAGCTGGGTTAGTTGCTACTAAGTGTTGTATGGAGTAATGTAAGTGAGCTGTCTAGTACATGATTTTGATATGAAAAGTCAGATGTACAAATTTGGATATGCTGTTATATTTCTATATTCCGCTAAAGTGAATAGATGGCATAGGTTGTTCAGAACTTTAAGGACATGTCAACAATAGGTTCCTTATAACACTGAATGTGCATAATCTCAACATCTGTATATAGGCAGTCATCTGGAGGTCTAATACATCATGTATTTACATCACTGTCAGAAATGTATCCTGTCCTTGTTTGTCTTCTGATCATCAGCAAGTCTGATATACAAATCTGCTGAGACTTCTAGTACTTTGTTTCAAAAACATTTTTGTGTGTGCAATTATATCTGTAGAAAAGTGAAAGAACTGGTGTAATGCAGCTGAGTCCCAAGCCTTTTCATGCCATCCCATCAACAAACTACGCTGTTCTCTCCTTTTATTGATGTCATTGCTATTTGGAAAGTGTATCATTTGCTTTTCAGAAAACAGTGGTAAACATTTGAAAAATAACTACATGATGTGCAAAAATACTAGCAAAACACATACATGGCCTGAAAACCTTTTTAAAAATTCAGAACCTTAAAATATAAAAGTATGTGTCCTAATTTCTCCAAATGTGACATATAGCAAGTTCATACTGTGTACAGTGGTGCCTCGCAAGACTATGTTAATTCGTTCCACGAAAATCACTGTCTTGCGAAAACATTGTCTTGTGAAATGCGGTTCCCCAATGGAATGCATTGAAATCTATTTAATGTGTTCCAATGGGGGGGATCATCATCTTGCAAAAATCGTCCATAGGAAAACTGTTTTGCGAAGCGCGGATCCAGCTGTCAAAATCGCTGTCTTGCGAAAAACTGTCCCGAAAAAAATCCTGTCTTGGGAAGGATGGGGCGAAACATCGTCTAGCGAAAATTGCCCATAGGGAAAACCATTTTGCAAAGCGTTATAGCGATAGCAAAAACCCATCGTCTTGTGAAATAACTGTTTTGCGAGGTAATCGTCTAGTGAGCCACCACTGTACTTCCACTGTCCCAAATATGGTCCCAATTCAAGAAGCTGTACAAAAGGTATAACCTCATGTGTGGACTGCCCCTCCTATCAGTAGTGATTGGAACGCTGTTTTGTCTGGTCGTGCAATGTCAGAGGTGCACTCTTTTGCACAACTTGTAAAATAACAAATGCTGTCTGAGCATCTATGAGAACAAATATATGTCCCAATTTTAAAATTGGCTTTTTCCTTTTTAACAGATGGCATCATTAGCAGTGTCAAATTGGCCTAAGCCATTGCCACTAGTTCCTTGCCTCTCTTGGTCTACAGCATCTGGTGTTTTTACTACGGTAATTCTTTTGTAGTTAATAATATCTGGTGCCAATATGTTGAGATCTTGAAATGTTTCAAAGCTTTAACATAAATCAAGTTTTTGTTTTTATGGTGGATATTGGTACTTTGTACAGTATCTTCTTTCTAGTCTGAACTAGAGCAAATCCATTAATTCAGATGCATGTACTGTATATAACTGTTGAATGACTGTTCAGTTCATTCAAGCTATCTCTTCTCAATAGGATACAAATATTTGCGGGTTTGGTTTTACAGTGGAATTTATTAGGTTTTGAAGGTTTTTTTTTAAATTATGTACTTTTAAAATTGTGACATAAGAGTCTGATGAATGAAATGCATGTGCTCAGGCCCTCCATGGGCACATAGGATTGCTTCTGTGTATTTCTTCAACACATTTCGTGGTACATTGATGGATCTACAGAAGCATTTTTACAAGTGAAATTTTTCACAAAGACTTGTACAAGAAATAACTGCACCTTTTAAATTTCAGGGTGTACTCAGCAAAGCAGTGAATTGGAGAGAACTAGAGAAACAATATTGTACTCAAAGTGTTTATGAAGAAGAAATAATTCAAATGCTTGAATATTGTGGAGTAAGTGCAATTTTTCTGTGAAATAGTAACCCAGCAGTATTTGAAAATGAGTAATTAGCTGGCAGTGTGCTCAAACACTTAAGCAAAACTCATTAAATGTGAGATTACTGGAGTTTGCACTGATCTTTTTCTGTAAATTATGTTCAGTTATGTAAATTATATTTTAATAAATTTATAGCAGTGTCTTGTTAAAGTTGTAAGGGATTCCCTATTGTGCCAAACTATGTTATAGTTTGTTAGAAAGTTCCTCACAGGGTGTTATGTATGGTAATACTTAGAACCAACAAACTAGAAAAACGAATTTTTAGTCACCTTGGTGAAGATACCATAATCACTGTATGTGCATTGCTGAAATGCTATATTAATGTTAATATGATATGTATTTATGTGCTGCCAAGTCAGAACTGATATAGTGACCCTAATATCAGAGCAAGTGAAGCATTTAAGGATGGTTTACAGTGAGATTACATGGCAGAGCTAGGGAATCAAACCTAGGTCTCCTAAGTCCTAGTGCATTGTTATATCCCCTACATCACAGTGGAGTTGTTCTATGTTTACCAAGTTCTTAATAAAACCTTCATAGGCATGTATAAATGCTTTCTCTCAAGTTCATGATGATAAATTATTGGCCCATGGATGATAGTATTAAATGTTCTTTTTGAATATGAAATCAAATTTTGTACCCCAGTTTTGTTCTTCTTTGGGGTTGGCAGTAGTTAGGTTTATTTTGTTTCTGAACATGTTTTTAGAATGTGGGCAAGGGGTCATAAATAGGTAACAGAAAGCTACCAAAAATGCTGTGACAGAAAAAATTTCAATTTATTAATAAATTGCTGGCATAAAATACACACAGCTCCCCCAAAAATAAAGTGATACAATATGAAATAGAAGAAATACAAAAATGTCTCTCTATTCATGTTTAATTTAGGGGTGGTTGACTGGGTGAAATCCTGAACCAGACTGCAAAACAGGAGCCAGAGCAGCCTCCTAAATACCTGTTCGGCAGACAAGACTTGTAACCTCTCCACTCAGGTCTGCCAGCAAAATGCACCCCCCCCCAGGTTGGCTGGCCAGCAGGCATATGAAGAGAAGCTTTCCCAATCAGTGTGGCGCACTCTGGGAAGAAAACAGGGACTCTGAAAATGGTGGCTGGCCTCTCAGCATCCTGGAACTTGCTGGGCTGCAAACAGAGCCCTGGGTGTACAGTATTAAGGAATCTTTGTATATTCCATATTGTATTAGGGGAGCTTTTATGATATTTTAGCTTAAGTTAAATTGACCCAATATTGGTATAACATATATTAGAAAAAGGAATTTATATCCCAAAATGTGAAATATCTGGTAAGCAGAAGTAGGTGGACAAGCTGCCTTTTAAAAATGTCAATTAAATGTTAGTCATAGCACCTTACTTTTAATTCTGCTTATCCAGTGGCATTTCTGTTTTGGTAGACGAGCTGAAATAGCTCTAGCAGACCAAACTGTATATTCTATTGGTCAATTGAGTTAACAAAAGTTATTTTAAAGTAAAATGATCTCCTATAAAATTTCTGAGATACAAATTTCAGTCCTCTTCTGTTCTCCATACTACTGTGTGGGACTATCATGAGGGTAGAATGTCAGGCATGTAAACAATATAATATTTACCCTTCTTGTTCCTGTTCCCTCACATTCTTTTAGACCTCCACTCTTGTTTTGCTATTTGTTTCAGCTGGGATGTAAGTGTGGGAGCAAATAATGAAATTCTGAAGTGAGCAAAAAGACCCTTCTTCACCCCTAGTGTGATTTTTCAGGATGCTCATAATATAAGCCCTACCCCCAAAATAAGCCCTAGTTAAGTAAAACCCTGCCCTCCAACATGTCCAGCAACCAGATGACATGACTGTATTTGAATAAGTGTAGATTGTTGTACATGAAAAAATAAAACATCCCCTGAAAATAAGCCCTAATGTGTTTTTTTGGAGCAAAAATTAATATAACACCCTGTCTTATTTTCGGGGAAACATGGTACACGTTTTTTGTCAAAGTCCTATTACTTAGCATAGTAAATTGTATTAGAGTATGCCTGTTGAACCAGCATGCTAAGTTACAGTTGGGGTATGGCCATTTGATGAATCAATGGAACTTATGGAGGAGTTGACTCATTGTGGAGGATTAAACTACTGGTTAACTATTTGATTAATGAAGTTCAGGAATAGGTAGATCAGAAGTTGTTTAGGAGGGAGCAGTTCTGGGTTTATACTAAGGGCAATTAGAGAAACCTGATTGACTTCTTCACTTTCATATGTGTATTATATCCCACCGCTGATAAATCTCATACATCACAATATAATGTCTCAAACGATAAAATGTGTTCTTTCATATTTCATTGTTTAAAAGCAAAGTCTTATAAAAAGTTGCCAATCTTCTGTGCAGGTCTGTTGAAGATGGCCAGCATGTTTGAACTTGTGCTACAAGCTATGTTATGTCCCAAACACTGGGCAAGATCTTTACGTATAAAACTATGCCTGCATTAACTGAACCTGAATAGTGAGGGGCAGGGATAGAAAAATTTCAGTTCATTTAAAATAAATACTTCTAGTTTATGCCAGCATAAATTTACACAACAGTATTTTGCACACTATTATATAGATATTATCCTTCAGCTTTCCCAAAGGCTTACAGATTTAAATTACTCTATTTTTATTATACTTTCCTAAGGAATAAATACAGAGAAATATCTGTATATTTCAGATTAGTTCTTAATTTATTTTCTCAGGCAATTTTATCTTAAAGGGTAATGCTGACTAATCAGGATATTATGTCAAGTTTACAGATTTCTTGCTATGTTGTGTTTATATATTCCGTAGTTTATGCTTGGGTAAGGAAAATCATTTAACTCTTGGTGGCAAATTTATGCTCATTAATGAGTTCCTAGTTGCATTCCTGGACACATCTCTAATTGCAACCAGCATCTTGTTAATGAACAGTGACAGAATTCCTTTTTATAAGCATAAATCAGTGGTAGGATTTTGCCCGTCTGTCAGAATTTATTACAGACGTGCATTGATTTTTTGTGTAATTTTAATACATTCACCATTTTTACCTCTCCAAATGGTTAATTATTTTTCATTGAGCATTTTCATTCAGCTGTGACTTGCCTTTTCAAAAATAAAATAGATTCTCTTCTAAGTTTTCAGATAAATTACTAGCATTTCAGTAGCCATTTTTGAAAGTTCAGAAAACAATCTTTTCTCTTAAAACCCAAGACAGTTTTAGAAGTTATATTCAGCAGTGATTTGATTGAGAGTGATTTAAAAATTTATGACAGGAAAAGAAAATAGATTAAAAGTGAGTTTTCTGGGATTCTTTGTAGTGAATCTCAGGAATATCTTGTCACTTGATTAAATCTTAAAGAGCTGAAAACACTGTTTTCCAATTTGTGATTTAATATAAAGCTGACACAATATTCTTATTTATTTAAAATATTTTACCCTTTCTCCTTAAAAAGGAACCAAGGTGGCTTACACCATTTAAAACACAATATTTTAATGATTAAAAACTATTGCTACATAAATATTGTAAAAGAATTTTAAAATTATATTACAAATGATCAATAAAATCAATAATACAAACATGTTAAAACAACAAGGTAAACAGTCCATTTAAAAATCTTCTCAGAAAGCCAGTCACTAAGGGAAAGCCTGCCTAAGGAGAAAGGTCTTTGTGTACAGTGGTGCCTCGCTTAACGATTGCCCTGCATTACGACAAATCTGCTTTATGATGATCTTTTTGTGATCACAATTGCGATCGCAACACGATGGTCTAAATGGGGGGATTTCGCTTAGCGATGATCAGTTCGCTCCTTTTGGAACCGATTTTCGCTTTACGACAATCAAAAACAGCTGATCATCGGGTTTTCAAAATAGCCGCCGGGTGCTTAAAATGGCTCCCCACTGTGCTTAGGGACGGATTCCTCGCTATACAGGCAGCAAAAATGGCCGCCGTATGGAGGATTGCTGGACGGTGAGTTTTTACCCCATTGGAACGCATTGAATGGGTTTCAATGCGTTTCAATGGGGTTTTTAATTTCGCTTTACGATGTTTTCGCTTAACGGCAATTTTCCTGGAACGGTTTATTGTTGTTAAGCGAGGCACCACTGTACTTGTGGAATTACAGCAAAGTTGAGGCCAACCTAGCCTCCCATAGGAGGGATATCCTGAGTCTGGGAGCAGTGACAGAGAAGGCCCTATTCCATGTCCCCACCATATGCACCTGTGAGGGTGGTGGGATAGGTCTTCCCAGGCAGGCTCATAAAAGGAAATGCAATTCTTGAGGCAGCTTTGATCCAAGCCATTTAGGGCTTTATAGGTCAAAATCATCACTTTGAATTGTGCTTGGAAACAGATTGGCAGCTAGTGGAGCTGTTGTAATAGGGGTTATGTGATCCATGCAACCAGCCTGTTAACTGGCTTCAGTGTTTTGGACCTGCTGAAGTTTTTGACCACTTTTCAAAGGTAGCCCCCCATAGTAATTCATCTAAGATTGTAACTAAGGCATGTGTCACTGTGGCCAGATCAGACCTCTGCACGAATAGGCGCAGCTGGTTCACTTGTTTTAATTCTGCAAATGTGCTCCTGGCTACCTCTGAAACCTGGGCGTCCAGGATCAGAGACAAATTCAGGAGCACCTCTAAGCTGCACAGCTGTGTTTACTTACAGAGGTAGCGTAACCCCATCTAGCACAGGCTCCATCCCTGTTCCCTGATCTGCCTTTAACTGGCCATCTCTGTATTTTCTGGATTAAGTTTTAGTTTATTCACCCTCATCTAGTCCAACATGAGGACATGAGGCAATTTGACCATAAAATAATGATTTCCTTATTTGAAAAGAAATTCTCATTTAAATTAAATAATAACTAATGGCTCAACACTGAATTATCACAGACAGTGTACTCTCTAATTTTCAGTCCTGCTGGGTGGGACTGTGCCTCTTTCGTGCACAACTTTGCCCCTGCATCTGCTTGCGACTCCATCCCCACCCATCTCCGGGCGTGGGGTTCCATCATGACCAGAACCAAAGGGGCTGAAAACAATCGCTGCACGGAGGAGGAGAAAAGCTGCACGAAGGGAGGTGGGACTACCTTAGAGAGAACCTTGGTCACAGATTATAAATGCACATAACACAAACATTTAATTTGTACATGCTCAAGGAATGTATTGGGTTGAAATATAAGTGCTTCTACATTAGAGTAATGCATGATCTCACTCTTTAAGAGGTCATATTATAGATCTTTATACAGTATATATTTTAAAAACCAGGCCAAATGTTTTAGGGTTACAGGATCAAGGGATAACTTGCAAAAATACTAAATGTTGTGCAAATATGCCTTAATTGAAAAGGTGTTTCTGTTTAGACAGATTCATTCAAGATGGGACAAGACTTTGTTAAAAACTCTCCCAGCAGTGTGGATAGTTTGAGAAATCTGGAGCTGAATTCTGGTATGCTAAACCTGGATATCAGGAGTGAAGTTCTATCTTCAGAAGTTAGTCGCTCTCTTGGCACTAACAAGGATTCTCTAGATCCCTCAGCGGAAGAACTGTTAGTACAAGAGGCGCAAAAAATGCAGTATGTAAATCAGACATTTTCTCCAACCACCAGTAATAAGGACTTTTCCAGTGAAGGAAAGAATCTGATACGTGGAAGAAGAGACCGTTTACAAAGAGAATCTCTAAGGTTCATGAAGGGTGTGATGGATGAATGTACCCATGTAGCTAACTTTTCAGGTACATCTTCTAATAAGAATTCTGAAACCACTGTTTTATTGTACCTTCTGCTTACTTTGGCTGCATGCAGTTTGAAGTTGTATAAACAGTTTTTGTTCAATGTATTCACGAAGGCTTTCACAGCCGGGATCTAATGGTTGTTGTGGGTTTTTCGGGCTCTTCGGCCATGTTCTGAAGGTTGTTCTTCCTAACGTTTCGCCAGTCTCTGTGGCCGGCATCTTCAGAGGACAGAGGACAGTTTTTGTTCAAGTTTTAATTTCTGCTTTGCTTAGTAATCCCCTTTGAATGCACTCAGCTCCTAAATATGCAGTTATTTCTGTGTAACACACACTTACATTTACTTTTTTTTCCTAGTTTATCTTGTAGGATCAGGAAGGTACCTGATATTGGAGATTACATGATTTTTTTATTAATTAAATTATTTGAAGCATAGCCTGATCAGTAGCAGCATTGGGGCCAGGCATTTAAAACAGATCCAGTAAAGCTCCAATCAAATGGAAAAAGGCCAGTATTATGCCCCAGACAAGTAATGTGTTTAAATTATAGAATTATAGAATAGTGAAGTTGGAAGGGGCCTATAAGGCCATCAAGTCCAACCCCCTGCTCAATGTAAGATTATACAAGCCAGTCAAAAATCCAGTCCCACCATCCCCTATGCCTGTAGTGAGAGATGCTGCATACAGATTCTAGGTACATGTGCAACCACTGCAGATTGCCAAACTATCTTAACTTGTACCTGTGCAGGTGCAGTGTCTTTAACTCCAGCTAGAGAATTATACTATAGAATACTTTTTCAGTGGGAGAAAGGAAAATAGCTTGCTGTTCAGATTCTCTTGTACATGAGATTATTGCTAGTATTTTGGTATTTTGGGAAGTTTCTTCAAAGACATTTTGGTTTTCAGTTCCAGTTGACCCAACACTGATAATAGTTGTTCAAGCCAAGGAAGATGCTTATGTTCCAAGAACTGGAGTGCGTAGCCTTCATGAAATATGGCCAGGATGTGAAATCAGATATTTGGATGGAGGTCATATTAGTGCCTACCTCTTCAAACAAGGATTATTCAGGTTAGTCATTCATAATAAGGAATACAGTTTAAGCATATATGTTTAATAGCATTGTGCTTGTTAAGTGCTCTGTACATGTTTCCTGTTGTGATTGCATCTAAAGCTGTCTGTATTCAGTATAGACATAAATCCATTTTGAGCTAGGGAGCAAACAAGTCGTGGGCTCAGGCACTTTTTTCTCCTCCTCCTAGTTTGTTCTTGCCGTGTTTCAACTTGTCAGTTTGATTTCTCTTTCAGTTTGCTCAAAATAAGATATACCCCTTAAATCAAGCACAGTCCCTCAATTTTGTAGAAATGGCACACTGGTGACATACATAGTTCAAATTGCAGCTCGCTGAAAAAGAGATTCAACACATTATGTAAGACATTCTTATATGTTTTGAAAGAGAGTAAAAGTCATGTGCCAAGTACTTAGGAGATATATGTTGTATATTCATGCAGCATTAAAATCATGTCATAACACAAAATGTGGACCATAATGCTGTAAGTGATCAATGTACTTTTACCAATAGAATTAATCGTTTTTCTTCTCTCTTTTCAGGCAAGCCATATATGATGCATTTGAACGTTTTCTCCAGAAATATGCTGTATAGGTCTGTCTCACTGAACCTTTGTGTAGTCTTGCTCAGAGCTTTCTTCTTACACATTATGTTCCTCTGGTGGATTAGTTGTTATATACAAAATTAAAACTCACCAACTGAATGACATAGTCAGCAGTGTCTCATAAGTATGTAATGGCAATGGTGATCTTGCATTAATCTTATTTATGACAATTTTAGCCCGGTTTGTTAATAGAGGCACTGTCTGTAAAATATGCTATTTTTGAACCTAATTTTAATTGGAGTGTGCACACGTCAATTGAAAAGAGACCAATGTAGTACTGATCATTTTTTAAATTTTCGTTTGTATCGATTTCATTATTTAGGTGCCTCAATATATGAAACAGGAATTCAAAGATGCCATTTTAACATGCTATGTATACTACTTTCTGATGCCCATCACTGATTCTTCAAGGAAAATTATTTGTCTGGGTGCCATTCTTTTAAATGGGCATGGGGTGGGAGAAAGAATTGTATATTCCTATCCAGGAGAAACCATAAAGCTGTTCACTGAATGAGCTGCTACAACTGAAATGAAAATATGAAGATTTCTATACATGTGCTAGTATTAATATTTTAATGTTTTTTTCTTGATTAATATTTCACTGTTTCACACCATGTTGCACCAACAGAGATATTTACATTACTGTATTTTTTTTTATTATAGGATTTTGTATATATCTGGAATAATAGATCCATGAAAATATGGGGTGTTTGTCTATGAAAGAATATTTCAGTAAAACGTGGATCTTTATGATCTTTACAATTCCAATTGTAAATGATAACTTGAAAAATAGTGATATTGAACTAATTGGGATAGATGTGGAAAAATAGGAATGGAATTCTACTCATACAGGAAGGGCTTCTTGGTTCTTTGCCTTTATAACCTGTGTTCCCCCAAGAAACTCTCTAGAGAGTTGAGCAACCTTATAGAGTGGCATTTAAATACTCAGCATTGAATAATGAATGGTGGAACTGTCAGAAACTGGTAAAGTTGCTTTCTGCAAAAGAAAGTGTCTCTTCAATGTGTCCAAAAACGTATTTGAACCCAAGTCATTTTATACATTATAGAAAGTACTATATGAACATATCTGAGGTTGAAAAGTGTTTTCATAAAATCTTTAAAATGAAGTGACACAATGGAATGCATGTCTTCAGCTATCAGCTAAGCAATTTTTTTGTATTGTAATGTAATGAACACTAGATGTTTTACTGTTGAGCTTTCCAAGTAAGATGCTTAGTATTTTCTATACTGAAAATAATAACACTCTAAAAATAGCATTGTATTTTTATAATAAACAGAAATGTCTTCTGTAAATTAGCTATTTTTTAAACACTGTACCTAATGTACAAAGGCTGCAATCAACTCACTCACTGATGAGAAAATCCACTTATCTCCTGGAACTTCTGAGTAGACATGTATAGCATTTCATTGTAAGATCTGGTAAAAATCCATCTCTCTTTTGTAGCAACTTTTTGAAAGAACCAAAACTGAAGCTGCAAACATGTTGAAGACCTCAATAAAAATGTTCAGATAAGATTAAAGGAGCTGCTTCAACAGGAATTCTAATTTTTAATGTCTTTGTTACTGCTGATGCCTTGTAAATAAAAAGCACAATGTTTCTTGGCAAACTGCAAGTTAAATTCATTAGAATTGGTATTAAGGTGTTCATTTATACACAAAATCCAGTGAACTATAACTCCGCTGATCAGTTGTACAGTGGTGCCTCGCATAGCGAGGTTAATCCGTTCCGGATTCACCTTCGCTATGTGAAAACTTCGTTAAACAGAAAGTAAAAAGCCATTGGAAATCGGCTGAAAACTCACCGTTTAGTGAAGTCTTCCCATAGCCGGCAGCCATTTTTGTGTCCTCCCCTCGCTTACTCAGGGCGCGAAAACGCTGCGCGTGGCCATTTGGGCTGTTCCGGCGGCCATTTTGGACCCGCCAAACAGCTGATCCGCGGGTCGCAAAGCGAAGGCCGGTAAGCAAAACGCTTACCGACCTTCGCTATGCGAGTTTCGCCCATTGGGGCCATTGGTAAGCGATCGCATTAGCGATTGTGGAAACCGCATCGCTATGCGATTTCGTCATTATACGGTGCGCTTGTTAAGTGAGGCACCACTGTACATCTATTTATACTGAAAATTATTATACCAGAACCCACAGCCAGAACCTTACTACTGAGCTTGGACGTTCTTGTCAAATATCTCGAGTACTGATACTACTAAGAACTGGCTTGAAAGACTTTCAAAATGGTATCTGCCAGAAACGATAAGCTTGCCAAATAATACCTTTTCTTGATGGTGCAGGAGCAGTATTTTCTGCCTCTTAATTAGCCTACAAAGTCCTCTGTGGTAGAAGCAGTAACGTGTTTGTATGACTATGAAAGTCCTGTGCAGGCATTTGCCTACAATACAAAAAAGATGAAACTGGTGAAGGTACATAGAAGCTCCACATCTAGTATTCATACATGCCTGGTGAAATTGGGAGCTTGAAATGGGGCTTTATGGGGTATGAACAAAGCTGTTTTAAAAACCTCTAAATCTTAAAGATTGTCATATTTTGTGATGAGTGAGCCATGAGTAATTTTTTTCTCACCTGGAGAATTGCTTACTTGGATTAAACTAGTAACTTTTAAAGGACTGGCAAATAGGCTTTTCTTCATAACAAAATACTGTGTGGCCTTATTATGCTATGTTCGAATGTTTAAGATTCTGCTCTAGCACATGTGTAAAAGAACTTGCCAATGGTGATATAATGCTACATGAAAATCTTTAATTCAAATGAAGTGAATTTTAAAATTCTGTAAACATTTTTCTTGAATGCATTTTATATTATACAATAAAACCTTACAAAAACACTCATGCCACTGTGCTATATTGTGAAATGCTTTTCTATATAAATTCCTGAATCATTAGGATTTTAATGGAATTTATGGTACTGGAATTTCAAGCCAAGAAATACACATATGCCACATTTGGGGGTTCTGTAAAAATCTTAAATGCCAGCACCTTATAGTGCAGTATTCTTCTTTGTGGCTTCTGTGAATGCACACACATTGGTCTTGTCTGCGCCTGCGCTGACATTCTCAGAAGATTCTAGAGTTGAAAGTAACAATTTAGTGGTGTGATTCCCCCACAAGGCATATGCCTTTCCCACCTTCCATTCCCCTCAGTTCCTTTTTTCCGCCAAGCTGTACAGTTCTCCTTTGGAAGACTGAGCTTTCTCTAGCCTTATTGGAGCTAATTACCTCAACAGCCCTTTTCAGGGCTACTAATTTCTCTTTCTTCTTTACTCTTTCCTAATCAGTTGGAGCTATCTACTTCTACTGCATTTTGTCGCTTTTCCCTGCCTTTTTGATTCCCTCCTCCCCTTTCTTATGGCCTACAAGTCAAGTCATGCACTTCTTGTTCCAATAAGACCCTCCCCTTTCTTATGGCCTACAAGTTTCCTATCAAGTCATGCACTTCTTGTTCCAATAAGATCTCTCTCTCTCTCCCTGACACTCATGATCAGTGTCTTTTCTGTTTGGGTGATTCTCACCCCAATCACTCTTGTGCTGCCTGCAAAAATCTCACTCGGCCAGCACTCAAACAGAGACTTAGATCTCATCTTTGGCAAACTGCGACAAATCCTTCTTCCCCCTCCAGGGAACCAGCAAGATCCCCTGTTTCATTGGGCGAGTGACTCCCTGCAGCCCAGACTGCCCCTGAAACCGTGGTCTCCGTCCCACCTAAGGATAAAGCACAGAAAAAGAAAATTTCTAAACCAAAATCGTCTACTAAATCCTCCATTAAACCGATTGATCCCCCTTCAAAGAAGAAATCTGCAATGAAAACTCTAAAAGCGGATACCCCCCCCCGCCTTGAGCCCCCTCAACTGTCTCTACCCTCTCCCATTTTGGAGGAATCCTCAAGGGATGCTCATGATTCTGCCTCTGATCAGGAGAGGTCCAACAAATAACAGTCTCTGCCATGACATCAAGCTTAACACAGAGTATTGGCCATTTCCCGGCTGCGCACCAGCCCGGCCTCAGCCCATTCCAACCCTGCATCAGGGCGGGCAGTTGAAATCTTGGTTTCCAATCCTGAAACTCCCCCTCTGTCTCCCAGAAAATGAACGGAGAAAAGGAAGCATGTCTCCCCACAGAGACCTATGACACCGTATGGGGACTTTCCCCTTCCTGATGATACCATACCGTTTTTTCGACCCTTCTGTCTGGCAATCACATTTCAAGCAGTATCATACCGAGCAGCACAAATGAGCACGTCTTGCTTCTAAACCATCTCAACCTCCGTCCCCGCAAAATTGAGGTCGAACCAAGAAGCATATACCAGTCCCTTTGGCATCGTACAAGCCCAAACGTACGACGTCATGGAGCAGGCATGATCACTCGCTACATACTCCCATCAATGTCATGGAATGAACAGCCACTTGGGAGCAGCAACCCTGTGATACTCGACATCACGAACTGTCGCCAACATCACCTTATTCATCATCTTCCTCTGAAGATGAATAATCTATTCTCGCAACTCATCTCCTGATCTTCCCACTCCTGCTGATGAGACCAAAGATAACCAACATCCTTCTCCTTCAGAAGATTTTTCCTCATATTCTCAATTTATATCGAGAATGGCTAAGCTAAGGCACTTTGTCTTAACACTGAGGAACCTTCATCGCCTGAAACAGATCCTGTTTTGGACAACATCATTCAGGAAAGGTGTCCACCAGTCAACCTTTCTTTCAACAAATCTGTCTTACAACTCATTAAAGACACATGGGATAAACCTCCTTCACTGATGCAGATTTCACGCAGAACTGAAAACCTCTAAAAATCTCGTGGTGATGACACTGAATTCCTAAATAAACATCCTTTACCAATTTCCGTAATACTGTAGTGGAATCTAGACAATCTAGGGGCTACAATAAATCTAAGGTCACCCCTATGAATAAAGAAGGGAGGAAGATACATATCTGAGGTAGAAGGATTTATTCTCTACAATCTTTCTTATTGAAGAACATCAATTACCAACGCTATCTCTGGAACAAGGTATTTCCCCTTGTTGAATCAGCACCCGAAGCGATAAAGACTGACCTTATTAATGCCCATTCCGAAGCCATTATTCTGGCTAAACACCAAAGAATTGCTGCACGTCATGCAGCAGAAGCTGCTTCTAAAACATTGATCTCCATCTCAATAGGACGTCATGCCTGGCTCATCTGCAATATCAGACGACACCAAATCACTGATCTCCATCTCAATACGACGTCATGCCTGGCTCAGATCATCTGCAATATCAGACGACACCAAATCACGGGTTGAAGATCTACCCTTTGATGGGACTGGCCTATTCAACAACAAAACTGATGAAATCATGGAGAACTTTCATAAGATGCACAAAATGGCATAATCTTACTCCAATCAGCAATTTTTGACCTTCCAAAGATCGTCCCAATCCTATTCTCAATATCAATACCAGTGATATCATCCATACAAGCAGTTTCGACCTCAACAGTCAGAACGGTCTCTCCCGACCCTCTCTTTTGTCCCCGCAATGCAACTCATCAGAGACAATCCCTTCCCAAGAATCAAAGAAAGGGTAAGCAATTCTGAATATTCTTTTTGATGTCTCCCAACTCCTAGATACAGTTGTGTTCAAAATTATTCAACCCCCAATGCTGTAAAAGGGTTTAGGGACTATAGTGTACATTTGGAATTGTATTCAGAATGAAATCCTACAAGGACGTTTTAAAGAACCAAATGCAACTAAAATAACATCAATTGTTTATGTAATACAGTAGTAAATGTTTCTTTTGTGGTTTCTTCATTGCCACAATTATTCAACCCCTTAAAGACTACCACTCTGAAGAAGAGAGGTTCATTCAGGTGTTTTCGAACAGGTATTGAAAACACCTGTGGATGTCACCGAGCACCAATCAAGCATAATAACCACCAATTAGGCAGCTTTAAATGACTTGAGACACTTAAATAGTTTCATTCAACCCCATGAATTCTGAATGCTTACCTTAGATACCATTATCCCTTTGCTTTCACAGAACGACTGGTTCATCATAATCAACATACAGGATGCCTATTTCCACATCTCAACACATCCCTCATATAAAAAATACCTCTTTTATTTTGCCAATGCTGCCTACCAATTCTGTTCCCTCCCATTTGGACTCTCTATGGCACCAAGAACTTTTACTAAATGCATGGCACTGGTCGCAGCTTTTCTCTGTCTCCAAGGTATAAATATCTACCCTTACATTGATGACTGGCTGATAGTCACGACATCATACCACAATGCCATAGCCGCAAGAGACACCACCCTACATACACTGAATAAGGTCGCAGCTCTGTCTCCAAGGTATAAATATCTACCCTTACATTGATGACTGGCTGATAGTCACGACATCATACCACAATGCCATAGCCGCAAGAGACACCACCCTACATACACTGAAGAAATTGGGATTCAGAATCAACCTGGAAAAGTCCGATCTCCAACCAAAAACAAACAGCCACCTTCATCGGGGCAGAGATAGAATTGACACAAGGAAAAATTTCCTCACGAGAGATTCACAAAAATAAAGAAGTCAATTGCCTCATCGACATCATACCACAATGCCATAGCCGCAAGAGACACCACCCTACATACACTGAAGAAATTGGGATTCAGAATCAACCTGGAAAAGTCCGATCTCCAACCAAAAACAAACAGCCACCTTCATCGGGGCAGAGATAGAATTGACACAAGGAAAAATTTCCTCACGAGAGATTC